TGTCTCATCAGTACGATGTTCTTCAGCAATGAAGGAGCCCCAGAATTTCAGGTCAACTTGCACCCTTCTTCCTACCTAATCAATGAAGAACATGAGGAGGGTGCCAATGAAGAAGACCAATGTGCCTTAGCAAGAGCTTATGCTCGGGTAGAAGAATTGAAGAACAATATCAAGAAGAAGAAGAAGAAGAAGAAGAAGAAGAAGAAGAAGAAGAAGAAGAAGAATGCTTGTTTTGATGGTGTAGAAATTCCAGCTTGCCACCAGCAAACCCCAGTGACTGCTCCTGCACCTGCTGGCATGCCAGCTGCCTCTGAGACAGTCATTAATTCCACACCAACCAATTATGTCCCTTCTACAGAGATCCCAGCCATTACTAAAACTCTGGTCATCTCCAATCCCACAGATCTCCAGAAATCCAAACCTATGACAAATTCTGCACCCCAATTTCATTATCAGAGCAGTTTCAACAAAGCAGTGGCTACCAAATGACTTGTAAACCAGGTCTTAGATGCCAAGATGGAAATTTCCACCAAAGACCTCTTAGCCATCAGCCTGGAGATTCACAAGCAGGTCAGAGAGCTGGCTGTGATGAAGAAGATAACAATTGGGAGTTTAGAAATGGCATCAGAAGCTACTGCCTCTGCTACCTGGGTGTCCTATGAACAGTATTAGGTCAGAGGCACAGAAGGGAAGTGTGTAGGCCTCGCTACTGTGCCATTACATGCCATCAATAGCATCCTAATGGACAAACTCCATGTCAAGTGTATCCTAGACAGTGGTTGCCAAGTGGTAGCCTTATATCAAGAATTATGGGAAGCTCTAGGGGCTCCTCTTTGTTCTGACATGAGCATGACCCTCGAAGCTGCTAACCAGTCTAGAGAGAGTACTCTAGGAGTCATAGAGAACACTTCCTTGTGCATAGGGAATGTTGAAGCCCATCTCCAGGTTCAAGTCATTGATTGTGCTCCATTTGACCTACTTTTTGGACAACCCTTCTTCTGCCTACTCACTAGTATCCTTCAGGATTTCCCTGATGGAGAACAGTCTCTAGAGATTTGTGACCCTAACAAGGGCAGACAGGTATTAATTCTGATGTGCCCTCAAACAGACTACAACTTCTTCCATGATTTGTAAATTCTGAAGACAAAGAAGACTACTTTGCATGCAAGGAAATGCATTGCCATATGAAACAGCCTGAGCAGGGTTTTTAGTGTTGGTCAATGACTCATTTGGATTGCAAGGAGGCCATGATAATCTTTTCTCCATGTGTTCTCTCTATGTTTCTGATCCTCCTTTATTACCTTCAAAGACTACTACCCTTTCACCTACAGACACTTTTGAAAATTCCACTGCAGCATTTATCTACAATCTACAAAGTAACAGTATGCCCCCTGTTGATCCATTCAATGTTAGTTCTGTTTCTTCAAATGACCCCTTCTTATTTTCCACTGGCAGTACCATTTCACCACTAACAATTTCAGCTTTATGTTCTACTTACCAGTTTGATCCAATTCTTCATGTTTTAAAGTACAAACCTGTAGCAAAGAAGGTCAGGCCCATACCAATGTTGATGCCTGTGGAATTCCAGGTAGAGTGTTGGGAGGCTGAAGATCCTCTCACAGATTTGCCTGTATTACCTGCTCACCCTCCTCCATTCATGCCAGGTTCCAGGTTTACCCAGGAAAGAGCTGACAAGCTTGATCTGGACCCTTCAAAGTTCCTCTTGCCTGTGGAGTTAAATCTGGTATGATGGCTGGTCAAGACACATGAGGCCGCCTTTGCTTGGGATGCCTCAGAAAGAGGAACCTTTTGAGAAGATATGTTTCTGCCCTTGAAGATACCTATGCTAGCCCACAAGCCTTGGGTCAAGCAGAATATCCCCATACCCCCAGCCATTTTTTGCAATGTTGTCAACATAATCAAAGAAAAGATTTCTGCAGGTGTTATGAGCTGTCTACTTCATCCTTTTGCTCAAAATGGTTCTGTGTAGTCAAGAAGGATGGAAAATCTCTCCATCTTGTCCATGACTTACAACCTTTAAATGCAGTATCTATACAGGATTCAGCCATTCCCCCTTTCATTGACTCAATTGCAGAAGCTTTTGCCTGCCATTCTGTCTATGGAATTTTAGATCTTATGGTCAGATATGATCATTGCACCATCCATGATGAATACCATGACCTTACCACTTTCCAAACCCCTATCAGTACTCTACAACTCACTAAGCTACCTATGGGCTACATGAATGCTGTCCAGATTTTCCATGGAGACCTCTGTTGGATATCGAAGGATGAAATTCCAGAAGTTACCATCCTGTTCATTGATGACTGCCCAATCAAGGGCCCCAAATCTCATTACCAAAATTCCAATGGTACCTACCAGACAATCATACAAAACCCCAGGATCAGACATTTCATCTGGGGACATCTGCAGAACATCAACTGCATCTTACATCATCTGTGTCATGCAGGAGCTACCATCTCAGCAAAGAAATGCATCATTGCTGCACCATCTATCATAGTGGTTGGGCATAAGGTGTCATCTGAGGGGAGAATTCTGGACAAAGCTAAAGTCCAAAAGATTAAAGACTGGCCCTACTGCACAAATGTTACTGAAGTGCACAGATTTTTAGGTCTTTGTTTGTATTGCAGGATCTTTATCAAAGACTTTGCTAAACACACATGTCCCCTCATTGAGCTGACCAAGAAAGATGTCCCCTTCAAATTCTGCAATGAACACAGAGAAGCCATGGAATATCTATGCCAGGCTATTGTCTTGTCTCCTGCACTATGTACTATTGACTACAATTCCAAAAGGAGGGTCATTCTAGCAGTCAACACTTTGAATATTGCTGTAGGATACCTCCTCATGCAGGAGGGGGAAGATGAAAAATGTTACCCTGCAAGGTTTGGCTCAATAACTCTCAATGACTGCAAGTGCCACTACAGCCAAGCTAAACTCAAGCTCTTTGGTCTTTTCTGCGCCTTACACAATGTCAGACTACACATCTTTGGTGTGTGGAATTTAGTTGTCAAGGTTGACACACAGTATATCAAGGGGATGATTAACAATCCTGATTTACAGCCCAATGCAACCATCAATTGCTGGATTGCCAGAATCCTTCTATTTGACTTCAAGCTCATACATGTCCCAGCACACAAACATGCAGTGCCAGATGGACTGTCAAGGAGGCCCAAAGCAGAAGAAGATGAGGATGGGGAAGGGGACTATGAGGATTGGATAGATGAGTGTGGAGCTTTTGCTGTCAAACTCTTGAATCATAGGGAGGCCCATTTTGAGTCTCAGCCTTACCCTTCAGAAATTCCAAGTACCCTGTCAGACTCACCCTCTGCCATACCACAGAGTCTAGGCATTTTCCTCCCTGAACAATCTCCACTGCATAACTATGAAATGGAAATTCCACAATCAGAGAAAGCAATCCAGAGAGAGGAGAGGTTAAAAGTGGTGGAGTTTTTGGAGACAAAGAAGATGCCAGAAGGATTGGAGGAAGGAGAATTGGAGAGCCTAGTATGTCTCGCCTTGCAGTATTTTGTTAAAGGAGGAGAGCTGTGGAGAACAGAGCCTCAAGGATGTCACCAACTAGTAGTCACCCCACACAAATGCCTTGGAATTCTTCATCAGGCTCATGACAAGCTAGGGCACAGGGGTATCTTCTCAACCTGCATGTGTTTTCTGACTCATTTCTGGTGGCCTATGTTAGAGCAGGATGTCTGCTGGTATGTCAAGTCATGTCATGAATGCCAAATCTGCTGTTTGGATCATGTACATATTCTGCCAGTCATTGCCATTCCAGAACCCCTATTCTACAAAGCATACATGGACATGTTCTTAATGCTGAAGTCAAACAGGTTTCACTATGTCACCCAAGCTTGCTGTTCACTCACTAGCTATCCAGAGTGGGCTATGCTTCACACAGAAACTGGTAAATCCATCAGAAAATTCATCTTCAAACAGATCTTGTGCTGCTGGGGTGCAGTCATGGAGATCATTACAGATAATGGCAGACCCTATGTCCTTGCCCTCAACTGGCTTTCCAAGACCTTCGGAATTCACCACATATGTATCTCCCCCTATAACTCACAAGCTAATGGAGTTGTTGAGTGACAGCATTTTGATTTGAGGGAGGCATTGGTGAAAAGTTGTGGAGGAGAGGCATCAAAGTGGTCAGAAGTCACTCCTGCAGTATTCTGGGCAGAGAGGGTTACAATTCACAAGGCAACTGGGTTTTCTCCATTCTACATGGCTCACAGCATCAAACCTAGACTCCCTTTTGACCTCACTGAGGCAACATTCTTAGCCCCTTTCGAGGCAGAATTTTTCTTGATGACAGAACTCATCACTCACCATGCTTGCCAACTTCAGAAATGTCCAGAAGACCTCACCCACATTCACAACCTAGTGCTTAAATCCCACTTCGCCTCTGTCAAAGATTTTGTCACTCACTTCAAACATACAATCAAAGACTTCAACTTTGAACCAGGGTCACTCATCCTTGTGCAGAATTCATGTATCAAGCAAGAGCTCAATCACAAGACCAAACTGCAGTACCTAGGCCCAATGATTGTCATCCATCACACCAAAGGAGGCTCATACATCCTGGCAGAATTAGATGGTGCCATGTCCAAATTCCATTTTGCTGCCTTCCATCTTTACCCCTATTTCCCACAGAACACCTCTCATATTGAAGTCATGCAGTTGCCTGGAAGACAATTCACTACCAGACCCCACACTCACTGGCATCCCTGAGGATGAGTCAGATGAGTAGCATATCTCTCTCTACCCTTTTTGTTTCTTTTCTTTTCTCTCTCTTTTTCTGTCTTTCTTTCTGCTTATATATATATCCATCTTCATCTCATATAAAGCAAAATCATCTCTGCTCACAAGAAAACAGTCATCAGCTATAAAATAAAAAATAAAATAAAAATCCACTCATCTCTCTCTTGTCTCTTGCTGATTCATTCTCTTTTCCTGCTCCTTACTTAATGATAATTCTGTTCAAAATACCCAAAGACACATCTAGAACAATTCTGCAGTCTGTTTATGCTACTGTACACATACTTACATATCCTTGAGCTGATCCTTCACCCTCTTCAGCTCCTCATGTCACCCCTGAACTGCACCAATCTGCTGCTCTACTCACATAGCCAACAGCCCCAGCATCTGATGGATCTGGGTCAGCTCAAACTCTTCATCATCTGCCCTGTTCTCCAGAAGTTGAATGCACTCAGCAAGAGCCTTGCATGTAGTTGTATCACCTGGGTTTGCAACCAGCAGAGTCCCTTCTACTGGGGGAACTTTGGACAGGTCCTGCACACTGATGTCAGGTGTGGGTGGATCATCCAATAATCCAGTCAGTCTACCAAAGAGTCTACTGTTGCCAAGATCTCCCAGATTGTCTATAGGTGGCAGAGTTGGCTCAGGGTGAGGTCAAGGTGCAGGGGTTGCTGATGGAAGGAAAAGAGGTGGTTGAGGTGTGGGAGGAGGCATGTTCAAGGTCAAAGGAGGACTAGCATGAGATGTTGGGTGCCCAGGAGTCAGTTTGAAGTTTTGCCTAGGGGGTGGTTTGCAAGCAGGGATCCGAAGTTTCAGCCCAGTCATTGCTGGAGTCTTAGTCATCACTGTCACTGACTTGGTCCATTTGTGTGATGGCCCAGCAGCCATCTCTCCACTACCAGCATTCTTGTGCTGTGTTACAGTTCAGTGCCCTTGTTCTTCATGTCATGATCAGCTTGTACTCACCTTCCTACCCACTCTGAGTGACCTGCTGCACTTCTGTTTGGCCTGCCTGCATTGCTTGCACAACTCCCCAGGTAGCCCTTCACACTCTGCATCTGCCTTTGTGCACTCCCTGCATGGAAGGTTGGCTTTGGGTGCCAGAGCACCAGTTTTCAATGGGTCTGGGTTAGGTGGGTGGTTGCCTTTGTCATTCCCCAGCTCATCAACTTCATCTGTGGCCTGTGGAGTTTTTCTGAATGTTAGCCATCACACTCAGAGTCTCCTGGAGGGTAGGACATACCTTTTCCTTACCCTTCCCCTTGCCTGTACTATCCATCTGTTGCCTCCCTTGTCCTCCAGTCCCCCTCAAAGACTCCCCTGCTCCAGTGTTGCTGGGCATGCAGCCTTGACCTTCACCTATTGCCATTGCTGCCTGTCTGTGCATGCACATAGAAGGTTCTCTTGTCAACCTCTCTGCCTCAAGCTGCACCCTCAACTCTACTCTCTCCTGGTAGTCTTCAAAGATGTCATTGATGTGGATCCATCTCTGCTCCACTGGGTGCTGGAGGTCAGCAATGGCAATGGCACCCAGGACCAGAAGGTTTTGGCACATTGCAGATTCCTTGGTGTAGTCATGCATGCACTCATTGTGAACCTTTGATATGGAAATTCCATTGTCATTGATGTATCTCCACCATGAGCAAATGCTGGCCTGCAGAACTCTGTCAACATGTGACACACTACTGTGGAAGGTTTACTCACCCATGTCTTGTCCCAGTCCTCTACCCATGCATAGATGGTCTCCAAACTCTCCTCTGGCTGTGGCACCACCTCAATCAGGTCCCAGACATGCCCTAGGGCTACAGTGAGTGCCATGGTCACCTGGTCCCTCATGCTGAACATGGGGTGCACATCATTGATGGAGTAAGCTTGCATGGTAGTTGGCAAAGGAAGCAAGAATCTGAGAGTGGGATGGTGGGGTAGCAAGGATAAGTCTGATGATGAGACAGTTTCTGGGTGAGTTTTTTTTCTGCAGGGTTGTTGCTGACACATTATCTGTGTGCAGCATTGTTGCTCACACAAGGCACATGGCTGAACACAAGCCATCTTTGTTTACATCACCTGCCAGATCTCCACCACCCTTCTGTTGTGACTCAATGACCTCTGACCAAGGATGGTCAGCATTCAAAGACCCTGGGAGGTGTAGGGAGTGGTATACTCCCTGAGGCTGAAATAGGGATGCCAACACCAAAATTCCACTGTTACCAAAGTTGACCCCTATCTGAGTTCCATGTCTGTCATCTTCAGAATTATTGCATCAGCCTCATGCACTGCCTCACCTGTTGAACCTTCAGAGCTCCCCTGTCCATCAATAACACACACCAGTCATCATCCTGGAATTCCATGTCAACATCAACCTGACATATGTCTATCTGGAATTCCACACTCATGTCACCTCATCCTTTGCCTTGCCATGTAACCAGGAAATCACACAGATCACCAGTAATAAACTCCAGTTACCCCTCTCATTCCTTTCCCATGAATCTTTCTCCACAATGCAAGAACCCCTTTGCATCTACAGCCTCTATCCTTGGTGTACAGTACTCTATGGTACACAGTATGCTTTTTTGTTGAAAGATACCCATCTTTCCCTTTTGTTTCTCTCAGTTACTGCTTTTCAGTTTGTTTTCACATGATTCTGTAGTGGGTTGACATCTGTCACATCTCCCTTTATTTTTCAGAAATTTTACTTCACCCACCCCATATTATCCCAATCAGTACCTTACTCTCCATGTACTATATAATTCTGCCTCAGTGACAGAAAAATACCACCCATCTTTTGGAGTTGCTATCCAAGTCATTCATGTGTCTAAGTATTCAAAGTGTCTGCTGCATCCTCTGTGTCTACTGTGTCATCTGCATTTCTAGCATCAATCTGTGCCTACTGGGTCTTTTGTGTCCTCCACATATCTGTGTCTTGCCTTCATGTCTCATGAGTCACTTGGAATTACTTCCTCATGCCAAGATCATCACTCAGAATTACTTCCTTGTGCCAAGATCATCACTCAGAATTTCATAAACAAGTCTATTCAGACCCAAATCATCTACAACACTGTGGAATTAAATTCTGCACCCTACATTCAACTTCCTGATCAACTCTACCATTGAATTCCACCCCTTGGGTCAAGCCTAGGGATTACCCTACAGCTTTCCCCCTAATCACATGCTACCCAGAGGTAGTGTCCCACAATGCTGGCAAAACCCCTGTCTGTAGTGGGCTTTGAATGAACAGATGATGCCAGTGTCATTTGGTTGGACATGTGAGGTAAGATTTGGATGGAAGGACTCAAGCTGAATGTGTCATGGTTTGTAGGTGATCAAGTGACTGCTAAAGTTGTCCACATAGAGGCACACATAACACTTTTCATTACCCATTTTCCTATTGAACATCTTCACCCACCTGAGATGTGGTTGGTATGAGTTTAGTGGGGCTGACAAGTTTAGATTTGTGCTTACTCCTCAAATAAATCTGCAGTTCATCCATGCTTTTTGATTGTTATGGTAGTAGAATCCATACTGCTGTGGTGTCTTGTTTACAAAGCAGTGTGGCTTCTTTGACCACCCAATGTAGAACAGTGGCATCTTCTCGCTCCCATCTGCATTTGTGGCAAGCCCAAGTGTAATTTGGAATTTTTCCTTTTTCTTCCCTTTCATTTGTCTTGTTGCAAGTCCACGATCAGGAGGAGCACTACCCATTGTCAAAAGGTGAGTGCACTTGTGAAAATCTGGTTGTGTGACACTCACAATGCAAACAGACTTATTTCATCGAAATTCCACTGGTCCTTGAGTGGAAATGTTGCTAGGACCTTCTGCACACAAGCCCTTTCACTGTCCACTGTACTTGGATCAATGGATCCAGCTTCTCCATGTTGCCAGTATTCCTTGATCTTGTATGCCTTGCAGAAAGGTGCAATCCACCCTTCACCATGAAGGCACTTTTCATTTGGAACAGTCGAACTCATCCTTGAACTGTTTCCACTTCTCTTGCAGCATTGGGCCATTCACCACCTCCCCCTTTTCTTCCATGTGCTTGATCCACTTGAAGAGTGCTTTCTTGACCTCTGGACTTGTGACTGCACAAGGGCATTTCCTCAAAAGTGCATCTGGATGGCTTTGTACTCATGCTTCCAGCTGCTCCCTTTCCTTTAGTTTTCAGGAAAGAGTTGCCTGAGTGAACTTCAAAACACCCTCCACTCATGAGCTGAAGTATGAAACAACTTGGTCTTGGGGTAGGTCTGGGTGCTTGTCAATGTATGCAAAGACTGTTAGCCAATCATTAAGAGTGAGATTTTCATGTCTTTTTGGCTTTGCCAAGATGGCTGATGTGGCAGGAGTGCTTTTGGTTGGCTGTTCCCTTGGTTGCTGATTGTAGGGAGCTGGCTTTGGCCATGGTCTATGCTCCCCAAGCTCAGCTGGCATGGTGGTCTGTAGTGAACACAGTTTTTTTTTTTCACTTCTGTACCCTATTTGTGCTAGTGCAGGCTAGTGGTGAGCTCCAATCTGCCATGTGGCAAGTCACCCTAACAAATTCCATATGCTCATCACTGCTAACAGGGTATCTCATACTGTATGAAAGTAGTTTGTGGGCTATATATTTTACATTATACAAAAATACTGCATTTTCCCTGCATACCACAGTGGGAATTGCCTAAAGTCCATATGTTATGAGAATTATACATTATGACCAGATACATTATGAAAAAGTGTACTGTACAGTGAAAATGGTGAGGCTTGCTGTAGTCATGTCACGTTGTCTTCGACATTCCCGCACTTTCGTGTGCTCACACCGTACTCTCCCCCTGCTACCACCTTTTGTACCGGTACATCAAACACCGATATATACCTTGCTCAAGCAAGCGGTGAAACTACACCTGAAGTCAATGCTATTCGTGCAGCATCCACCCGAGTTCAGGTGAAAGACGGCACCCCGATGTCAACACTTCGACAGACTCCAGGCCGAACTCAATCGCGAAGCAGCACTTCCTTCTACGAAGAGTTGAATTTTGTTTGAGAGCAGAGTACACGGTCATGATGCAATGGTGACTGCGAGGTCTTTATTCCCTGAACTTAGGGAACAACTGGCACGCGATGCGCCAAGCACAACATCTATATACTGTAGTACGATGCCCTGCAACGCCTATCCTCGCAATCCACTACTACCACGGGAAAGCTACTGGTAAGGGTGTTACCCCCGTTCACCGCGTCTGAAATAGTCATGTGAGTGTTCCGTTCTGTGTACTCGTCTACATGGGGAAATTCATATGTATGGCCAAAAAATACAGACAAATAATTCCCTTGGATTGACGCTGCAGAGTTTGTTTGAGTACGTCCTTGTTGCCGTCAGATCTCATAAAATCGAGAGTCATCGAGAAATGCATTGCTCGCCTCTCTGAGTTCGCTGTATCTCACTCCAACTCTATCACCTTCCCCTCCCCACCCTCATCTCCGTCGCTCGAACTCGTCTTTGAATTTGCAAATGGAAAGAGTCAACAAGAATGTCGATATTATTTTGTCGATACCAGGAAGAGACTCCTCTGTTGGGCGCACGATCGGGTGCCAGAAAAGCTTGAGGGGTGTCAAGAAACAGAGCCATGACGTAGGCACGATATCTTACGGATTCGAAACCAGCTCGCGTATGTGGTGTTGTGCGACGTCCGACGATTGTGATTACAGAGACAGCGCTCGAGATGCAGTATTGGTGCGGGCAGGAGTTTTAGGGCGTCGCACGCTGGGAGCCGACTTTTGAGTTTGGAAAAGGGCGCATTATGAACTGTACCCGCACAAGCGAACATTCTATGCCGCCGTCTATCGGGGAGTTGTATGGCTTGGTCATTCACGCTAACGCTGGTGAGCACTTCACCGTCCCACGCGATCGAATGGCGCCAATCAGATCTCAGAATCAATCGTTTCCGATACATCTCTCGCGCCGTTCGAGAGCGCAGAACTGTCCAGAATGATTGATATCGTGCGCGTTCTTCAAGGTCTGTTCTCTATCATTCTCGCCGGGCTCTTGGTTGATCGGGTGCTTTTCTTGCACTTTTCTCGTTGGCGGGCCTGAATAACAATACAGTTTAACGCGATAAAACAGACCTCAACCTTCCTTGTCGCATTCCTCTATCTTGTGTATCTACTTCTCAACCTACCTTCCTACACTCGCAACGACGACACCTGGAACCGAAGAGTCGTAGTGAGCAGGACATAAGTGGTTGGAGGGAAAGGGAGGGAAGCGCCATTATGAACATAAGGAGGGGCAGCGTGGAGACGGCAGAGCCAGGGATTTCGGTCACAGGAAGGAGACAGGGCTCCACGTGAGTACCTCTCGGAAGGGAGGATAGAAAGACGGTCTCGTTCGCGAAGACTGGGGAGGAGGCGGAGGCTCGTGTGGAGATGACCACTGCGTTTGAGACTAAAGGTGGTGTTCAGGACTTGCAACCATCGGAGCCTCAGATGACAAAGATAGCTTGGGGACGCTTCGATGATTTTGATATCGTCACTTTCATTAGGATCGCCGTAGACAAGACCTACCAATGTCCATGGGTCGTACATAGAGGAGTGATGTGACCAGTCGTTTCGATGGCGTCATCACACCCTTACATCACCACAAAGAGGGTCAGCTTCGCGGTGCTTTTGACGATGCTAAGTTCGGTGCCGTCGCTGAGATCGAGCTTCTGGGCAGCAAGTATGTACATACGCACGCGTGTTTTCAATCTCGCCGCTGAGATATAGACACTGATAGCTGGCGATCTTGGCTTCGAAGTCGAGCGCGCTTGTACACACACGCATGCGTGGCACATCGCGCGACACAGCTATAGACAGGTTGGATCGAGAACAGAGGCAAGACCTTCTATTGTCCTGGCTACTTACAGAACGCATCAAATGGGTTCACGGATGCAAAATTGATAAGGGTTCGTTGTTTCCCTATGTGGAAGTCAACGAGCGCCTCAAAAACTCACAGCACCCACCGGACACTGCCAGTTCTCCCGCTACCATCCCCGGCCTGGTACTCACCATGGTCCTTTAATCGATTGTTTCGTCGCCACACTACCGCTGTTGGTCATTGACGTGAGCGATGCGACTTTGTCTTGTAATTGACCTCGACACTGCGGAGCGTCCCTGCATATGGAGTGTATGCGAACGTCAGCTGCCGGTGTGCATGGGTGCTCGGACACGTCGTTCCCTGCAGTAAATAGGATGGGCGAGCGTAAGAAGGTACTCGATCACGTCCGCACTGACTGCCAGTACCTGACGTTCGAGGTGGGTGTTTCCTGCTTGAAAGCTGAGTTCTCTTCCCCGCTGACGATGTTGCTCCCGCAGACCTAGCTTCTTGATGCCGTCGCTGAGGATGTGTACGATCATCTGCACATGTGGCTCTTGTAAGCCATCGTCGTAGTGTTTCTAACTGTGCTGTGGCCATCAAATGAGCTACTGTAACTCTACAGGGGTACGTCTGTCCAAGTGTCCGAGAGCATGCGACAAGAGGATGTTAACGGATTTCTCCCTGACTCGGAAATTCTAGAACGAGTCGTACTAATCTTGACCAGAGCGATCGGATGTTGGCCACCATACATAAACAAACTTAACTTCAACGTTCCCCCTCTACAACATCTCTTGGTTCCGAGGTGTTTCTCGGTTTACTCCCACTCTCTTCTACCCTGTAATCTTAACACTATGTATTCGTATTCTGCATCGTACGCAACAGCGGAAGAACGCACTGTTCATGGTGGGTACGACAAGGTGGCTGACAAGTCCCAGTCAGACATCGACTCCCCGTTTGAGTTATCGTTGTCCCCTGCTACCCACCCCTGGCTGGCAGGCGTGCATCTTGATGGAGAAGTCGCAGGCCTTCGTTCCACCCCGCGTGTACTGCTGGATCAGCCAAGCCACCCACCCTGGGTCCTGCACGCTATAGGGGGAGACCCTGAGCTTGCCCAACCCACGGACTTCAACATAACGGCAGAGACCCCTTCTGTTGGTCACCACTGGGAGCTTGCGGCTGCCCTGTCTTCCCTCATCGCTAGTCACCCTTCAGGAGGTACGGGTCCCGGCGTCAGTCCCAGCGTCCCTTCACCGATTTCCCCAGATACTTTTAACCCCCTTTTGCCGGCAATGATTTATCCCGGCATGTTGCCCGCCGAAACTGCACATACTCCTCTGTTTACTCTGACACCCGGACCATCCGAACCGACCCCGACCACACAGGCGCAGAACCTATCCAACCCGTTCACCCCGTACAGAACCGAATGCTCTTTTCCGTTTTCCCAAGATGCGTTTTGCCTCCCCTTCCTGGAAATGGTACCTAATACCAGCTTGTTGCCCGCCGCGACCGCATATACTCATCCGTTCACACCGACACCTGGAGTGTCCCAACCGACGCCAACCACACAGATGCAGAACCCGTTACCTGATCCCACCGTATTTCCCGCCGCACCGTCCTACACTTATCCACCCACACCAACGCCTGGACCATCCCAGCCGATATCGACCATACAGACGCAGCACCCGCTCACCCCGCCCACACCATCCACTCCATGCAGTGTTAGAAGAAGAACGCGTGGACGGCAAGCACCAGTCTCACCTGATGGGAAAGCAGTCAAATACCGATCCAAGAACGGAGAGCTTAAAGACAGGCCGTTTATCTGTCCCGTTGCTGCTTGTGCGGTGACATTTAGTCGTAACGAGCATTTAAAGAGGCACATCAAGTGCGTGCATTCAGATGACGAAGGTGCGCACACTCGTTCCATTTGTGAGGTCTCGCTAAGGGGGGTACTTGGAGGTTGGGTTTGCCAGTATGGCGAGTCGTGCATGAAGACCTTCACTAGGAAGGATAACTATCGACAGCACGTGCGGAAGGACCACCCAAATCAAATTTGGGTGAACTGAACATGAAACGGCGGTCACGTCGACAAGGGCTTCAAATCGTGGGGGGAGTAGGGGGGGATTTTTCGAGGCTAGCATCTATCCAATCAGTAATTTCTCAACGATCTCTTCACGCACAAACGCGTGCTCAATTTAAGTAATCTACGCACGAAATTTCCTTACGCACCTGATTGTTACACTTAGTGTAGTCATAACCTCCTGCGCCATTTAGTATGTTGTAGTATACACACCTGCAGTGTTTCTCTCGTATATTCTAGAGACTGGACGTGGTTCTTGGAAAGTGGAGTATCCTTTCACTAATACGACGTTGAGGGCGAATAGGTGTGGTCAGCGAACCAACCTAATTTTGGACTCCGCAAACCGCGAAAAGTCCTGCCCAGCACTCAGGACATTGCACAGACCACCAGCCTGGCCCTCCAGCTCGGTCATTGGCTTGTCCAAATAATACTATCGTCAGACTACATAGCAGCGAACCTAACTCGGTTACCCCCCCTAGATTTGTACCTGAACGGTCTGCGGAGGGCTGGGTGTCCGTACACGACTACTTAAAAACCACCACGCGCGGTACTGGTCCGCCGGGCAACAGCGCTTGTGATGTCCATACTGGCCGTCCTGTAGCGCGATGGCGACATTGTCATAGCTCCGTGACAGCCGGGAGAGGTGTGAAAGCAGCTCACGGCTGAGCGACGCGCAATAACGTAGGTACGTAATATTCAAGTTTCATTGAGCACTTTACTGCACACCTTTTTATGTAACAACGTTGAAAACATGTCGTTGTATCAGCACCTACCATATGTCAGAGCAGGACACGGTCAATTGACATGAGACTACCATTACCGCGCGTACTCTGATCAATATTCTCCAGTTTCCACGGCTCCGTACGAAGACCAAGGCGGCACTTTACACCGGTATCCATTAGAGAATGGAGGCCAGCCAGACGAGATTCTCAACCTCACGCACGCCTGTCATGCATACGGTAGAGGATGGTGAGTGGTAAGCACAACAGCAAACTGAGAACAACCACATACCTTACATGCACGTTCGAAATCAGCCAGCGGATGTCATAACAAAAAGCAGAATGCCGTACTAGTACATACGGACTCCCGCAAATAAGCGTCTTCAGATCCGCCCCATTGCCAAATCTCCCCCTCCGATACACCTCCAAACCCTTCGCAGACCGTGGTGCCACGGACTTTGGCGCAGACCACCTAGCTGCGGGTGATCGATCGATCGATCGTTGCCTTTGATTTTGGTGCATACTCATCAATACTCAGCATCGACAATTTCTCCAGTATTTGTTTATGGACAACAATTCAAATATCCTCGGTTCGGCATCTTGGACAATGGATCAGCTCGTAGGTGAGCCAAACCAAGGTCCAGAGTACGCACAAACACCCATAATTGCCCCCTCACCTGGCACTCCTGTGCGCAAACGCGCTCAATTTGTGTGGCTGCTCGGACGTACGTAGTGACTTCGTGAACGGCAGACCCTGAAGCCGTTCGCGTTCGTTCACGACAAGTAGCTGGTCAGAAACTGGGTCGATGACGCGTCCGGCTCAGCAACCGATCCCTTGGTGTAGCTGAAATCTGCACCTCTTTGGGTATCCGATCACTCTTGACGCGTCCCACCGACAGACTGCAGACCTGTATGCTCCCCCGCTATCAAGATTCGGCGCTATTCCCTACACGTGTAACCCATATATTTGTCTGCGACGTGCACGCACGGGATATGGGTTCGTTACCAGAACTGTCCACGTCTGTAGACCGGGAAAATACGGATGCGAACATTTGCAATTGAAGGCGGCTGATAGTCGCAGGTAGGCAACACCAAGTTCCAGCGGATGCTGACAGATACGTCGCATTTGGCTTTTGGGTTGCCTCGAACATCGTCATCACTATCGTACCAGCGAACGAATAAAGGAACAATTTCTGGGGAGAGACGAACGTCAAGGAGGAAACAGCGGTCAGGACTAGCCGAGAGCGCGTTGTGCGTACATATAGGACTAGTAACAACTCGCTGATCAATTACATGTTGACCATGGGTACCATACGGAACGTTCCCTATTATGAAATTCGGATGAATGAAATGCACTCCATGTGCATTGAAATTAAAATTCTTTCTCTCAAAGGAGAAAGGAAGCAGGGTTAGTGCCAAGTCTCCTTATTGACGGAACCTGAAGGGTCGGTTTGGCTACGCTTGGGTCGTTGGCACCAGTGAACGTACCTACCACAGCCCTCGATCCCCCTTAAGGATGTAAATGGAAAAACTCATTCGTTTCGCTGAGTGCGTATACACGTCATCGGGTCGCTGATAAAGGGGGCGACCTACTTACCTCGGAGCTGGTAGAAACCAAGAATAAGATCCGGTTACGGTGGCCACTAATGCACACGAACACCTCGCCGGTCACAACTGACCCTACCAGGACGTGGAAGAAGGAAGTGCACGGGGCATCGGATGTAGTGGTGTGACATCGTTGTCGGGACGTCGTGGTTTCGGGGATGGCGCTCTTCTCCGGAAAGGAGCATCAGAGAAAGCATTAGCATTAGTGACATGGAGGTCTCCCAGGAAGCCGTCACCTGCAAGGCATATGCAGTCGTCGGTGGCGATATGAAATGTATACATTCTGTAGAAGCTAATTGTTCTTTCCGAGGAAATTACCTGCGAACCACACGTGGCTGTCGCCAACCCCATGCGTTCTGGCGATCATTACCTACCAGGAACAGAGCGGACGATGCGTCTGGCCCTCCACTTACACTGAATTCAAGGTCGTGCTGGCAACTGATCAGCGACTCGACCCGTCGTTGACCTGGCAAGACCTCTGTGGGTCATGTGACGTCACACAGATGTCCAGTGCAGGTGTATAAAACAGACTCCCAGCCAGCCAGCTTTGCTTGTCATGCAGGAGGATGATTGCCGTCCTTCGCTCGAGTGCCATTCTCAGACCATCCGGATTATATAAGACCACATCACTCCCCTTATCATCATCGCCCTTCTTCACCTTGGCTGCGTCTTCGCCACACCACCACGTTCACGGAAAAATGAGTTCTCCCAAGGATTTCGTAGAGGTTAGTACACAGCTTCTGCACCCACCACAGACATCCGATGACGACGATTGTTTCCCTCAGAATACCATCAACAACAACAAAGTCGTCATCTTCTCAAAGAGCTATTGTCCATACTGCGCAGAGACCAAACAACTCTTCAAGAGCAAATTCTCAGGTGTCAAAGTCGAAGTCATCGAGTGCGTGCGCTACTCTTGTCATCCGTATGAGCGGTAATTGAATGGACTGTGGGGATGCAATAGGCTCGACGGGAGGTCTGACATGGACGCGATCCAAGACTATATCAAGGAGAAGACCGGCAAACGCTCGGTCCCTCAAACCTTCATCGGTACGGCTTGATCCCCATCGTTCGTGCATCCCTTGCTAACATCATAAAGGTCGTCAACATGTAGGAGGCAACGACGATTTGCAAGCTGCATATAAGGCAGGGAAGGTCCAGACATTGCTTGAGGAAGCCACGTAAGGACATGTTCCCACCATGTATCGTACGATGGAGGCATGATGTGCACCGCTGGAGCCTGATTATCATGTAGATGACAAGAAGGCCAGTGACAACATGCATACACTTCATTCAATGTACTTCGATGTGGTGGTGAAGGCTCGCGGGAGTATATGCGGCCGTCAAGTGTTTTCCTTGGTAAGTGATTTGCGCCGGCGTGTGATACGGGATTGTCGATGGCGATGGCGTGATGAATACCGAACTGGGATTAACATCATAATGTGCTCATCCCTCAACCCGACCATGACATCATCTCGATCGTCATCCACAGGAGCTATCGTTATAACTCACCAACACTGAACACCTCCTTTCGTTACACCACCCAACATCTAATGAAGAATGAGTTCCGCTAAAGACATCGTCGAGGTACGTCTTCCTTCCTGTTCACAAAATTTTTCGTACCCTTGTTCGCGTTCCAACGCTAACACCCACCACAAAAAAAGAATGCCATCGCCAACCGTCGCGTCGTCATCTTCGCCAAGAGTTACTGCCCGCATTGCCGCGCATCCAAACAACTCCTGAAAGAGCTATTCCCTCCCGATGACGTCCTCATATTCGAGTGCGTATCCTGTCGTCAATTTTGACTGGATGGTATGAACGGCTTTCTAAATTGAAGAGGAAACTAGTTTAGATCTTATGGAAGGAGGACAAGCCATTCAGGACTACATCGCTGTTAAGACGGGCAAGAAAACTGTCCCGCAGACGTTCATCAGTGTGTCATGATCACCAACTCTTCGCCTTCCACGCTAATACATATAAAACTGGTACCGATCCTCTTCCTATCATCATCTGACGCTCGCTTCTCCCGCTTACGTGTCACGCCGATGACGGTCCTGACTTCTACACTGGCCTTTCCGTTGATACGATACCCACTTCCTATGCAGACGGGCATCACATCGGCGGAAACGACGATCTTCAAGAGGCCTATAAGAATGGGACACTACAGCGCGTGATCGAGGGGTTGCCTGCGTGAACTTTCGAGGTGCATAAGAACGATCGCGTGAGGCATGGAGGATGGGACATGTGGTATCGTGCGTTGAAACCAGATACATCTCCGTCGAAGGTGAAGGATGACATTATAGACTAGATCTGTGGTGGGAAGCTATTGGGATGTAAAATATCTACGACATACTAACGGCAGCTGTGAATCTGCAAGTCGGAGTGGTCCGACGGTGTGCACTAAAGTACTCTACCGTATCAACTGCCGCTTGACCTTCCAACGTCCCCATATATATACGGGTCTCCTGTACTGACAAATCCCCCAGGTCTTAATAAGCCGTGGAGAGTAGATGTAGGTGTGGCCACGTGGGATGAGGCGTTGCCAGTGGGCCAGTGCTGGTAGGCGCGTGGCGATCGCGAAGACAACACACAAGGCGGAAGATGGGTGCATTACTCCCCGATTCTCACAGCAGTAGTGGAGGGTTCTTGTCTGCAGCAAATGGTTAGGCGCCCTGCAAACTAGGCTCCTTCCCCGACAGCACCAAAAAAAACTCATGGATCCGGACTCCTTGTCTACTATGTATTCTGCGATAGTAAATCCATCCCAGAGGCACAACGGGCAACTGCCAGTTCTGTACAGCGAAGGAGCGGTGCGCGCAACAGATGTGGAGCGATACGATATGCTCTCGGCCACGGAACGTGGAGGCCCCAGTGTAATTGTCTTGTTTACTGTAAATAAGCATACGTTTTTGGTATGATACATAAAATAAAACATGGCTCGCAAACTTTGGTATCGTTCGTCCTGTCTTCCTCGCCGTTCCATCCATGTTTAGAAGTATTGCATACCCTGTGACGGTTTATCGTCCATGTCGGCCAACGGGTGCGTTTCGACCTGCACGAACACCTATAAAGAATACATCGGTTCCTACCCGGATAATGGACCAATGGAGTACAATTCACGTACCTCCGGCTGCGTCCTCTGCGGTTGAAACACAACCACCTAATCACGAGACACAATGTGCATGAAACATCGCAACGAAGCGACTGCAATGGTTGAAAGGTCTCACCCCAGGATGATTGCTCCTGCCATGGCTTACTTCGTCCTCTGACGACCCATCATATTTATGTGGCGTACGAGCGTTCAAGGTGGATAACATGCAGTTTGTGTATAGCTTTGATAGTATCTGGCTGAATAACACATAACTAGGTGAAGTGTCGTGTGAGAGGTCTCGTTGTAGCGCGTACAGGAAAATAGTAATACTTACTTGCCCATACTCTATAGACCAATTAAGGTGAGTGCACTGCTCACACAAGTGCATTGGCATAGCCATCACTCACGTTGGTCATGTAGCACGTCAAGTCTACGATAGCAACGATGGTCGTTACGACCCCAGTCTGTACAGTCACTAGATTGAGCGTGCGGTCAGCAAATCTGAGTCCGTACAACACTAATATTGCACGACTCACTCCTGAGGATCCGATTAATAGTGCTGTTCAGTGCAGGGTAAAAACTCTTGTGTCTTCCCTGAGAATGCGACTGTAAGAAATGGAAATGTGACGAGAAATCATAAAGGGATATCCACCAGATGCCACACGAGCGAAACGGCAATGATCGCATCAGCGATGACTGCCCCAACCAACCACATCGAAACCTCAATTCGTAGGTCTGGAACCAGGAAAATACTTGGGTCGAGGGCCAGACCGACGGTGGTGGCGAGCGAGCCTGCCAAGTTGGCCAGGCTACATAGAACGATAGCCGCCACAATGAAAACATTCTTGGTAACCACATGTGCCCTCCAGGCAAAGAAGTGTTGTACCGCCACGCTGACAACGCCCTGCAGCGGGTTGTTAGGTGAGAGATGGGTGTGCGGAGAATGAAGGCGCACCGTCGAGGCGGCACCTGTATGTAATTGCGAAATCTCTTGTTGAGCTGGGGTGTAGGAATATCAGGAACGGATTCGTACCAGCTGCGAATGCTGTCCAAGAGCGTTAGATAGCCTAGTTTTCATTGAAATCCATGGACTGACCCCAGTTGCCACGCACAAGGTTCGCCTCATCACCTACGCTCCGAACATACCGCCTACTTCAGCCCCACACTTAAACGCGAAACGAGAAGGCGCACCAAAGTTAATGATTAGTGCATTATAGATGTAGTAAATGCTGACGACACAGTTGAACGTGTCTAACAAGTACAAAATCACTACGCTGGGATTTGCGAGGGTGAACGCTTAGCACAGAAGAAGAAAAAAATAGACCAACAATGACTTCAACCATAATCTATCTCTGCGCACAGTGGTTTCACTAGTCACTCTAGGTAGATCCTGGACTGACACGCACTTTTTATACATTGTGAGATACAAGTATACCTGCGTGGTGGCGAGACCGTGCAGGAAGATATTCACAGCCAGCCCGATGAGGAACGGCCCTTGGCTACGAGAAGAAACATAAATGTCATTAACCAGTCGCCGACTGGCATAAATAACTTACAAGCCTTGTGCTACACTCGCCGTCATGCGCTTCGACGTCTCCGAAAGTGCAGGATGACGATGGGTACAGCGGAGGTATAAAAGCAAGAGCAAAAGATCAGTCGAAGAGGAAGGAACTTACCCCACAAAACTATACATGCGGGGAAGGAACTTTTCTCGAGAAACTTTACACGCAGGACTTATCACATGTTGAAATTTTAAAAGTTCACAGTATAAATCACTGCCCTGTCCTGTCACATTTTAAGTTTATTGACTCAGGTACGATATTCCGCTTACAACATAAAGCTTACATGTCATACGTATAATTTTCTCCTCAATACTTGGCTTGTTCAGCGCGCAGGCCTCCCACCGGGTGAAAATTCACAAAACATTCAGTGCCACGTTTTCCAGATACTTGGAAAGTTTCTGGGCGTCGGCGAACGTTGTTCGAATATGAGGGCCTGAGTAAGAAACGAGGAGCATATTTTTTTTCATTTCAGCACAATGTCAATTTTGTTCAGAATCGATGCTCGGGGGCCGAAGCAAGGGCCGAGGCGTCATGATTGTCAGGGGTTGCCACGCGACTGTAGCCCACGTGACATGTACAAGACCCCCCGACCGTCAGTCACCAATGACCTCAACGTGGACGAATCCAACGGGCAGCCATGCACCCATGATCGAATCATCCAACAGGTACAGTGCACTCTCACCATACCCTCAAGTTCACCTCCGACGGCACCTTCGACTGGTGACTACTGTACCTGACTCCTGAGAACGGCCTTCTCAGGGTTTCGGTCTTCGCTGAACCACCCGCAACACTCTACATTTGAGTATTCATTGCCTTGTCTCATCAATCCAACCGCGAATATCCTCCTCCGTGAGCGTCGAACCCTCCCCCACCGAGCTGGGTATGACAAGTGTCATATCGTTTGAAAATTGATCACTAATTAGAGCTTCCTTAAGCTTGCATTACCCGAGGACGGACCTTATAACCTCACTGAACACCTTCACATGAACAGGCTATTCGCAATGCCTCGGTGATGTATGTTCCGGACGCAGCTGACGAGTGAAGTATGGACCCACGTGAACCCAAGAGAAACGTAGCGACTTGGTAAGGAAGTGACTCGATGCGTGCGATGCGTTGTTCTCGAGTCCCCGGTGACAATCTCCCGCCACAACTATGCGGGCAATGAATCTCTCTAGCTTTTCGAGACTTTCATTGAACGCGCGGATTCCTGGGATCACGATAAACAATCACATATATGCTTGAATGGAAATAGGAGGGGAACGTACGGGCGCTGAGCGTACTCTAATAATGCAATATTTGGTGGAATCATCGTAACTGCAGACTGTAAACTCTTCAGGTTTGTCATGGGCCTCTCGCAACAATTTCATCATCTGTTTAGTCTGATTCTCAGATTCCAACGCCCATGGCAAACTTGGAAATCTCGTAATCGATGAGTGTGCGAAAGGGATGCCATGGATCACGGTCGCAATCAGGAGCAGGGGGCTCGGAGGAATATTCGCTGGTGCGGTCGGCAAGGTGTGACGTCTTTAGTTCGATGCGTGTTGCCTGCTTGATGTTGTGATGTGCCTAGGACGGAGTGAAAAACAACTTAGGATAACGGTTGATCCAGCTATTCATGATTTCCACCTTGACCATGGTTTCCATGCGCTCCCAAGGGCTCCACATCATTGTGGACGTTAGGCGCACACGTAGTATCACAAGCTAGTGGACCTCAACTAAACTTGTGGCGACCGCGCAAGAACATACCTTGTCGTGCTTGTGAGGCCGCGCCTGGACCAGGTCGGTCTGCGTGGCAAAACACGGCTCCATGGGAATACCGGCTACCGAAATGAACGGCCCGCCTTCTCTGTTCGCATCAAGCAGTTCTTGAGGATTGAACCCGCCTAGCACAGGCCCTTCGGTGACGTGGTAAACCCATCAACTTAAACTCCTCGTCACGTATTTCACACTTCATGAATTTCGAGAAGCTCGCGGACATAGCAGAGAAACTCTAGGGAATACTATTGAAGATGAGGGATCGGGGTGCAGAGAAGGATACTTGGAACACGACAGGTGGAATGAAAGCACAGAAAAGTAAGCCTCGAGTCTTGGAGTACGAGGTGTTAAGTTTACACCGTAAGCCAATTCAGTACTTTGTACCGTAACGAATTTGCATTCAAGACACTTCAACTATCGCCACCACGGCAAGCCCAAAACTCCATAAAGCCATCACCTTACATATCACCCCTTCCCACTACGCCCACGAAACCTTGACATCCCCATTCAAATCCACTACTCCACCCGTCACGACCAGCTCCCCGATCCCCCCATTGTACACCCACCCATTCACTACCTCTCCCTGCACAACTACGCTGTCCGGTTCCTTCCCAACTCCGAGGATGGTGATCGTCCCCAATTTCTGTTCGATGTTATATGCCCCCCATTGTGTTTTGACCCTCAGTGACCCCCCGCACGCTTCGAAGGTCAATCTTCTTGCCAGGGTGCTGTTTGAACTGCTGCCAGTGCCACCCATGGCGTCAAATTCTCCATCTCCCGCATCCACGAACGCATCACCCCAAGCTTGTCCATCTCCATCGAGCGACGCGAGTAATGCATACGGTCCATTCATCGTTTCGTAGATCGTATACCCCGGTTGATCGTACAAGAGCAAAATAGATCCTCCGCGGATGTGGACATTGATATGGCTGATGGGAGCTTGGAGAGTTACCGTCGCTGATTGATTTGATGTGTTGGTTGGCGAAACCGAAACGGGTACATGCGTCCACCAGTCTCGCCATATGACATCTCCACGACCAGGTAATATACCTACGCGACCAACCGCGCACGAGCGTCACATTCCGTGCTGACACGACCGCGAAATGCTGACACACCTTGGACAGTCGTCTGCCCGGGCTCGAGAACAGGGGTCACGAGGATATCCTTCCCAACGAGCCACTGCCGATCAACAGTGAAAAGTTCGGGTTCATCTGGGAACTCATAGAATAAAGCTCGGATTGGCGGTAAACCAGCTGTAGATGCGTTCGCAAAAAGGGTGTACTGTTGAATTGTATGAAAAGGGTTACGGAACAATACATAGAAAGATTGCCATCAATTCACGGTTGGGCGACGACAGTGAGATTGCGCACCCAATAGGGCAGTAACGAGTATCGTGCCCGTATAGCTATCTTTGACGCATTCGCGACGCTATCCCACCGATATGGCTCCTGAGGCAAAGCTGCATACGTATTATGATTCCTGTAAAACGGCATGAAGGCAGAGAGTTGCATCCATCGATTACATAACTCTTCGTCCGCGTTTCCATCTATCCCATCACGAGGAATCTGTCAGTCTCACGTGCAGAACGGGACAGGAGTGACACATACTAAATCCACATGTATCAGCACCCACCATAGGCACTTGGTATATCTGGAACTGGAGTACACCCTGGATATTCAAATACATGTACTCCCACTTGCTGTAATTGTCCCCGAGCTATGTATCAAGGTCACGTCAGCCCTCGCTCACGCACGGTCAATATCATCCATACGATACGAGACTTTCCCACACAGCAAGTAGAACGAAAACGAAACAAACAGCACGATAGACTCACCCAATGCCCTGCCCACCTTCCTTGGCTCACAAACGTCGATCTTCCGATGATAAAGGGTCTCTGTCCCGGCCTGACCTTCTGCAATGCCAAATACGTTGCACGAGCTTCCATCATTCCAAATAAATTGTGTACGTCCAGTTCGAGATAGCCACCTGTGTGCGTTGCGTTCGTGGCAACGACGTGCGCCGAGAGAGCACCGAAACCTGTACGCAACGAAAGATGAAGTCTCTTAGAACGAGGGAGGTATCGAGCAAATGAGGGACTAACCGTTGTGTATCGCGTAGGGTGGATAGGTCACATTTATACCTGTTTCCTCACCTGCACCAATGCCAGTGCCAACACCCCTCGTTCTAGCATTAGTCCTTACCGCCACACCTGTCCCACTCCCACTTGCATTCGAACACGAATATGTCGACGTCCCATTGATAGTCATATTCCCGCTCGGGCCCGAAACCGTCTCATTATAACTATGCGTGTAGAACCGGTCATCACAACCACTTGGGCTCGGATTCGAAGGGTGGACACGTACCATTCGGGATACCCAACCACCGTGACATTGGCGACACTCAACGGAGCAAGTGCTGAAAGATTTGCACCTGTACCGCTGCACCCACACATTTTATCAGTTCACTCATTTCGATTATATAACAGCCTCAGCCGCAGAGGGAAAAAACAGAAGACGTACCACGAATATCCACAAAGCTGAGGTTGCCTCATTCATGTCGAGCCATATTCCACTAAATTCAACACCCCCATTCGTGCTCCAGTTCATCAACGCTTCTGTCCACCACTCCACTGCGTTGTCCGAGAACCAGTCCGGGAACGCCTGTTGTCGTGAATAGTCGTCGGGAAGGGTGAGAGGCGAGAGTGAGTGAATTGGAAAAGAACAAATGGGACGAAGAAACGTACGGTGTACCCAGGCCACACCTGTCCGATATATAAAGATCCGTCTGGGTTCTTCATAAACACACCCCTAGAATCCAAATTCATTCCTGCCCTTTTGAGGGGGATAAGATGAGATGTTACGTACATTTCCGAACCTCTCGTGAATGGGTCGTACTACAAATATGAAACAGAAGGAGATGCGATGCGTGAGTTCAATAGGTAGAGAGCAAGGGAAGAACCCGAAAGAGGGTTATGAAGAGGTGCAGATACATACCATGTCTGTATTATTCACCGTCACAGCGATACCTGCATCCACAATCGGAATAACTATGCACGACGTCAACTATCGGCACACTCGCAAGCTATGCATCCAAGTAGCAGGAGAAGAGGGAACGTACAGTGTTGGTGGTTCGCTGTCTGTGCGGTAATGTCAGTACGCGTAATCAACATACACCGCCAAGTGGTGCAAGACAAAATGAAATTACATCCTCATCAATGGACCGGAAACGTGCATACGACGATAACCAGTAATGCTACACTCACCAAATTCTCAATGAATGACCTGATTTCGTCTGTTGGGAAACTGATAGGGTCAGTTGTGAAGTCCCGAAAGACGTGGTAAAGGTCGATGTCATTCCATTGGACTACGGCCGTCGAGTTCCACAGAGTGCAACGATGAATGCGCAGGTATGAACAAGTACAATGAAACGTGGGAGTCGAAGTGAGGCCAGTATGAACAGCAGGAACGCCTAGGATAGAACGAAACAAAATACCTTCAAGGGGAATATCCGCTCTTCGCATTGCTTCTACATTCGCAACGTCATCGCTGACATTATGATATCCCCACCGACACAAATGGAATCCAAAACCCCAAGCTGGAGGCATAAACGGATAGCCACTTATGGCTGCATACTGTGCGATGACATCTATATCATTTGGGCCGCTGAAAAAGTAGAAGTCGAAGGTTCCACCAAGCATGCGGTATTGGATCAGGGATACTGGGGAGCCGGGGGGTGTTTGGAGCAGGATATCAGAACCTGATGCACTGTGGGGAGAGTGGGTATGAAATTATGATTAGGGCTGCGAAGAAGGCGGTGCACCTGACGAGAACGACGCCAGACGAAGTGGCTTTGCCCGTGGTCTCATTGTACCGATGTTCCAGATAAATAGGGTGTGAACCATACCTGTCAAGTGGCACATGTGCTTCGGTCAGACATTGGTGGTATGGCATACATACATGTTCTGGTCAATGGGATTGGCATCATCACGATTCCAATGAGTCTGAATCGTGCCCGAACCACCCCCCGTGCCGATATCACGACGGAAACCACTACTTGCAATGACTTCACCTAACCCATAGATGTTGGTGCCGAGAAGAAGGGCCGAAGTAATCTGAATACAGTGGAGGGGAGTGGTTTCGAGCATCGGCGAGGGCGGCAGACGATCTCACCTGGAGATATTGGTCTTCGAACACGAGCGGGAACCCATCGAATGCAGTGCTCGGATCGGAAGCGTTGAATGGAGGAATAGGAGTGGCCGGTAACGATGAAATACGGGTATCGAAGATGGGCATCGCGTCGGGGTCCGAGCGGCGAGTAATCCAGAACGCGAAGGGAGAAGGGTCGTAGTTGAATACAAGATCAGAATCGTTGATGAGGGACTTCGTTGGAAGGGGAGGAGGCGGAATAATTGAAGTAGGGATCCTGAACTGGTCTTCGGCGGTGTCGAATGTTGCAACACGGATGCTGTGTGGTTGGGATAGGTTCAGAACTACTAATGGAAGGACGGAACAGCGAACGTACGTAGATTGGGACTGGTATATTACCTCGAGTGTGAGATTGGCAATGTCCGACCCGAATGCATTGCATGCTGGGCCGGCAAGCTGTAACTGTGCAGAGAGACCATGTTGGAGCTCGGTGAGAGAGGTGAGGGTATAGCCTATGGACGATGAGCAGAGTATATATCCATGGTCCATGAACATAATTATACTTACCTGGACAGTGTGAGACGTTCTTAGGGTAGGCTGACGCTGACACCAAAAGTGCCGCATTGCCAAGGGAAAGAACGAGGGGACGTAGCATCGTCGCAGGAGTGCTACCCCGATGACGATGGGAGGGTTGTATTTAAAGTGGGGTACTGTGTTGATCATTAGACCGGTTGCATGACCTCGAGGTCGCCAGATGACAAAGAATATTAATTGCTTCTGAGCGCTAGAACAACCGGACACGGGTTGCCGTGCTGAAGTTATGTATGTAAAGGAATATCACCTCGTGCTGCAGAGAAGCAGCTCAGAATCCAAGTTGGAAAAATATGGGCCGCCTACTGTGCCATTTCCATAGAAAGAGTTGCTTTACATTGCGTAGTTGGGATGCACCTGACCTATCAAATGATGGCATATCGATGATGCGAATCGAACTCTTCGCTGAAGAAGCCTTGGGGAGTTGATGGAAGAGACACATAAACCAATCGTTGTATTGTAATAGGTGAGTTATAACTTTAGTCTACCATTGCATTAGGGCACGAGCATGTCAGGCAAGTCTCCTGTTCCCGCCCTTCCACGGCGCGTGGCAGGTAGAATTCACCCCAGTCTACCTCGAACACAGAACCCTTCGGCCAGTTCTTTGAGAAAACCTCCGAGACCGGACTAATCGCGTGTGGCTGAAACGAATTCGCTTTCGTCACAGACGAAGACTCGGACATGCACATGTACGGTTACAAAGATTAGCCTATAGCTTCCCCCAAGCTCAATTCATTGCTCGAAGGCTCTCCCCCACTACTGGCATTCAAGAGCAATGAACCGTGTATGCCAGAGGGAGGAGAAGAGGAGTACGATAGCGTCACGGGTGACTGGTTCGGTGGGAAAGAAGGCGAATGCGCTGGGACAAATTCAGGTGGACTCTTCTCGTGGTCAACGTGTGTGTAAGTCCGTTGGTTTGTATACTGATGACAACCGACTGATCGGTGGCTTAGCTATCCCTCTACGCGCCCACCGGTCTTAATCCTGCCCTAGACATGTCTAACACGCTGATATCGTCCGCGCGGTTAACCATTCTTTTCACCGCCTTTCACCGCCGCGGCCGCTGTTGCCATGATGCGGCTGTCTCTGGCGGGGCAGGGATCCCCAACGACAACCGCTCCTTCCTCGCCTACTATACTTTCTTCATCTGGAGCTGTTCTGGTCTACCCGGGCCGCATATCATACCCACAAGCCATGTACCTGGCAAAACCAACGCTCAGTGGTCTCGTAACCTCGGCGCTCCGGGCCACTCGCGCATCCAAAATCGTCTTCACTGTTGCGAATACTACTCGCCCTTTCTCGACACAACCGTCCCGCAAATATGTTACGCTCGGTCGGTTTTGCCCCGGATGCAAGGCGACCTACTTTCAATTCGAAAGATACGTGCTCAAGGTTCGGTATACAATCGTCTTCTCTCTCGGTCTCCTCCAGATCTCTATTATTCCCACCTGACTGCTGTGGCGAACCATGTCACTCACTGTTTTGGAAAGGGGATGAAGCCCCCTCAATTTGAATAGCATGGCGGCTTGCGCTGGCGTGTGACACGGGGTCGTCGATGGCGATGGCGTGATCTACCGTACTGAGATTAACACTGACATCATTTATGTTCATCCCTCAACCCGACCGTGACATCATCTCTATCGACATCCACAGGAGCTATTTTTATAGCCCACCAACACTGAACACCTTCGTTACACCACCCAACATCTAATGAAGAATGAGTTCCGCTAAAGACATTGTCGAGGTGCGTATCCCTCTTTGTTCATAAAAACTTTGCTCCCCTGTGTATGTCCCAACACCAATTCCCAACACAAACAAGAATGCCATTGCCAACCGTCGGGTTGTCATCTTTGCCAAGAGTTACTGCCCACATTGCCGCGCGTCCAAACAACTCCTGAAAGAGCTGTTCCCTCCTGACGACGTCCTCATATTCGAGTGCGTATCGTGTCGTCAATTTTGACTGGATGGTATAAACAACCTTCTAAAACGAAGAGGAAACTAGTCTAGATCTTATGGAAGGACAAGCCATTCAGGACTACCTTGCCGTTAAAACGGGCAAGAAGACTGTCCCGCAGACGTTCATCAGTGTGTTGTGATCACTCACTCGTCGTCTTCCATGCTGACATGATACTAATACCGGTTCTCTTCCCACCTTTACGTTTCATGTCGATGGCGATGCTTACTTCTACACTGACCTCTACGTTGATACGACACCGACGACCCACACAGACGGACATCACGTCGGCGGAAACGACGATCTTCAAGAGGCCTATAAGAACGGGACACTACAGCGCATGATAGAGGGGTTGTCCATCTGAGCTTTGGATGTGCATAAGAACAGTCGCGCGGGGCGTGGAGTATGAAACGTGTGATGTTGTGTGATGGAACTAGCTATGTTCGTCTCCATCGAAGGTGACACCTGACGTTAAAAGGGTGTTGTGGTCAGTTCTCTCTGCCTATGACATTCTGGCGCATCTGGGATCGAAGTGGTTGAGGTGCACTCTCCTATATCAGTTCTCGTGTGTATACAAGTCTCCCTACCAACAAACCTCGAGCATCGCGGGCAATGATGGGTTGCCAGCATTCCAGTGCTAGTTGGCGTGCCCGGGATATAGGCGTGCTACAATATTAAAGTACCCTGTCCCTAATACGTCCACGACACCTCAACATCCCCATTTAAATTCACCTCTGCACCTGCCACAACCAGCTCTCCAATCCCCCCATTGTACACCCACCCATTCACTACCTCTCCCTGCACAACTACGCTGTCCGGTTCCTTCCCAACTCCGAGGATGGTGATCGTCTCCACCTTCTGTTCGATATTATATGCCCCCCATTGTGTTTTGACCCTCAGTGAGCCCCCGCACACTTCAAAGTTCAATCTCCTTGCCAGGGTGCTGTTTGAACTGCTGCCAGTGCCACCCATGGCGTCAAATTCTCCATCTCCCGCATCCACGAACGCATCACCCCAAGCTTGTCCATCTCCATCGAGCGACACGAGTAATGCATACGGTCCATTCATCGTTTCGTAGATCGTATACCCCGGTTGATCGTACAAGAGCAAAATAGATCCTCCGCGGATGTGGACATTGATATGGCTGATGGGAGCTTGGAGAGTTACCGTCGCTGATTGATTTGATGTATTGGTTGGCGAAACCGAAACGGGTACATGCGTCCACCAGTCTCGCCATATGACGTCTCCACGACCAGGCAATATACCTACGCGACCAATCGCGCACGAGCGTCACATTCCGTGCTGACACAACCGCGAAATGCTGACACACCTTGGACAGTCGTCTGCCCGGGCTCGAGAACAGGGGTCACGAGGATATCCTTCCCAACGAGCCACTGCCGATCAACGGTGAAAAGTTCGGGTTCATCTGGGAACTCATAGAATAAAGCTCGGATTGGCGGTAAACCAGCCGTAGATGCGTTCGCAAAAAGGGTGTACTGTTGAATTGTATGAAAAGGGTTACGGAACAATACATAGAAAGATTGCCATCAATTCACGGTTGGGCGACGACAGTGAGATTACGCACCCAATAGGGCAGTAACGAGTACCGTGCTCGTATAGCTATCTTTGACGCATCTGCAACACTATCCCACCGATATGGCTCCTGAGGCAATGCTGCATACATATTATGATTCCTATAAAACGGCATGAAGGCGGAAAGTTGCATCCATCGATTACATAGCTCTTCGTTTGTGTTCCCATCTGTCCCATCACAGGGATTTGTCAGTCTCGCATGAGGGACGGGGCGGGAGGGATACATACTAAATCCACACGTATCAGCACCCACCATAGGGATTTGGTATATTTGGAACTGGAGTACACCCTGGATATTCAAGTACATATACTCCCACTTGCTATAGTTATCACCGAGCTGTGTATCACGGTCGTGTCAGCCACCAGTCATCCCTAATTCGCATCACCAATACACGAGACTTCCCCACACCGCGAGTAGAACGAAAACGAAAGAAGAAATAAGATAAACTCACCCAATGCCCTGCCCACCTTCCTTGACTTACAAACGTCGACCTTCCGATGACAAAAGGTCTCTTTCCAGGCCTGACCTTCTGCAACGCCAAGTACGTCGCGTGAGCTTCCATCGTTCCAAAGAGGTTGTGCACATCCAGTTCGAGATAACCACCTGCGTGCGTTGCATTCGTGGCAACGGTGTTTACCGAAAGAGCCCCGAAACCTGTGTACAACAAAAAGAGGGGTGTCTTAGAACGAGGAAGGTATAGTGCAAGTGTAGGAACTGACTGTTGTGTATCGCGTAGGGCGGATAAGTCACATTGATACCTGTTTCCCCACCGGCACCGATACCAGTGCCAACGCTCCTTCGCGCACTCGTCACTGTCCTAGTATTAGTCCTCACCACCACGCTCGCCCTACTCCCACTCATGTCTGAACACGAATATGTTGGCGTCCCATTAACAGTCATATTCCCGCTGGGGCCCGAAACTGTCTCGTTATAACTATGTATTTCAAATTCGCCATCGCATTAACCCATCACTTAGACCTGGATTCGGATTCGAAGGGTAGACACATACCACTCGGGATACCCAACCACCGTGATATTGACGACACTCAACGGAGCAAGTGCTGAAAAGTTCGCACCCGTACCACTACACTCGCATATTTAATCAGTTCACTCGTTTTAGTTAACAGCCTCAACCTTCAGGCGAAAGAAAACATACCACGAATATCCACAAAACGAGCTTACTTCGTTCATGTCGAGCCATATTCCACTAAATTCAACACCCCCATTCGCGCTCCAGTTCATCAACGCTTCTGTCCACCACTCCACTGCGTTGTCCGAGAACCAGTCCGGGAACGCCTGTTGCCGTGAACATCGTCGGGAAGGGGTGACAGGAGGCGAATAAGTGAACGGAAAATAACAAATGGGATGAAGAAACGCACGGTGTACCCAGGCCACACCTGTCCAATATACAGAGATCCATCTGGATTCTTCATGAACACATTCCTAGAATTCAAGCTCATTTCACCCTTCCGAAGAAGACAAGGCGAGAGGGTACGTACATTTCCGAACCTCTCGTGAATGGGTCGTACTACAAATATAAAAAAAGAATGAGATGGATGAGTTCGATGAGTAGAGGGGAAGGGAAGAACTCGAAAGAGGGGTGAGGAGGTGCAGGCACGTACCACGTCCGTATCATTCACCGTCAGAGCGATACCTGCATCTACGATCGGAATATCTGCGCGCGACGTCAACTACTTGCACACACTCGCCAGCCATACACCCAAAGCATCGACAAGTAGAAGAGGAAGAGTGCACATACAATGCTGGTGGTTCGTTGTCTGTATGGGGATGTCAGTATGTGTTTTCTCGAACAGTAAGCACCACCAAGTGATATAGTACAAAATGAAATTACATCTACAGCAGGGAAACAGCAACGTGCCCACGACAATAACCAATAACGATGCACTCACCAGATTCTCAATGAATGACCTGACCTCGTCTGTTGGAAAACTGACAGGGTCAGTTGTAAAGTCCCGAAAGGCGTGGTAAAGGTCGATGTCATTCCATTGGACTACGACCGTCGAGTTCCATGAAGTACAAAGATGAATGCACGAGTTTGAGTAGGACACGCGTCGAAGAAGGCATTAACAGCACGAAGACAAAGTAGAAAGAACCAAATACCTTCAAGAGGAATGCCTGCCTCACGCATTGCTTCCACATTCGCAATGTCGTCATTGACATCATGATATCCCCATCGACACAAATGGAATCCAAAGCCCCAAGCTGGAGGCATGAACGGATAACCGCTTACAGCTCCGTACTGTGCGATGACATCTACATCGCTTGGACCGCTGAAGAAGTGGAAGTCGAAGGTTCCACCAAGCATGCGGTATTGGATCAGGGACACTGGGGAACTGGGAGGTGTTTGCAGCAGGATGTCAGAACCCGAAGCACTGCGTGGAGAGCAAGCATGAGACTAGGACTGGGGCTGCGAAGAAGGGGGCACACCTGAGGAGAAGGGCACCAGACGCAGTGGCTTTGCCAGTGGTCTCGTTGTACCGATGTTCCAGATAAATGGGATGAGAACCGTAGCTGTTGAGGGGCGTATATGCTTCAGTCAGACGGTCGTGCTACAGCATACATACATGTTCTCATCAATAGGATCGGCAGCATCACGATTCCAATGAGTCTGAATCGTGCCCGAACCACCCCCCGTACCGATATCACGACGAAAACCACTGCTTGCAATGACTTCACCTAAGCCATAGATGTTGGTGCCGAGAGGAAGGGCCGATGTAATCTAAACACAATGGAGGCGAGTGGTTTTGGGCATTGGCGAGGGTGACAGCAGACGATCAGCTTGGGGAAGAGCCTACCTGGAGATACTGGTCTTCGAACACGAGCGGGAACCCATCGAATGCAGTGCTCGGATCGGAAGCATTGAATGGAGGAATAGGAGTGGTCGGTAGCGATGAGATACGAGTGTCGAAGATGGGCATCGCATCGGGGTCCGAGCGGCGGGTGATCCAGAACGCGAAGGGAGAAGGGTCGTAGTTGAATACAAGATCAGAATCATTGATGAGGGACTTCGTTGGAAGGGGAGGAGGCGGAATAATTGAAGTAGGGATTCTGAACTGGTCTTCGGCGGTGTCGAATATTGCAACACGGATGCTGTGTGGTTGGGATAGGCTCAGAACTACCGATGGAAGGACGGAACGGCGAACGTACGTAGATTGGGATTGGTAGGTTACCTCGAGCGTGAGATTGGCGATGTCCGACCCGAATGCATTGCATGCTGGGCCTGCAAGCTGTAACTGTGCAGAGAGACCGTGTTGGAGTTCGGCAAGAGAGGTGAGGGTATAGCCTGTGGAGTCGACGATGAGCAGCATATACCGCCATGGTCCACGAACGCAATTATACTTACCTGGACAGTGAGAGACGTTCTTGGAGAAGGCGATGTCGCGAACGACTTGAGCCGGCCGTGACGCTGACACCAAAAGTGCCGTGCTGACAAGGGAAAGAGCGAGGGGGCGTAGCATCGTCGCAGGAGTACTTACCCCGACGGTGGGGAGGTTTTATTTACCGTACATAATGCAAGGGACGGCGTTATTCGTTTGACCGGTATTATTGCATGACCTCGACCAGGAATCGCTTCTGATAGAATAGCGGCTGCAGGGCTGCACTAAATCTACGTAAAAGAAGACGACCTCGTGCTAGATGAACCGACTACTCCAAGTCCGTAACCCAATATTCCTGTGAAGTACCTTTCGTGTGGGAACGATGGCATGCAGGCCCAATAATCAGATGATGCGGCATACATATATCGATGATACTGATCGGACACTTTGGAGAAGAAGACATCTTGGTGAGTTGACGGAGGAGACGCGTAATAGGCATAAACCCACCCACGTGCTCCTTCTCACCGCTCAATAGCTATTCCAGAGGCCTCTAAGAGCAATGAACCGTGTATGCCTGAGGAGGGAGACGAGAACTATGATAGGCCACGGATGACTGATTCGGTGGAAAAGAATGCGGACACGTCTACGCGCTCACCGATCTCATCCTGCCTTCCAACATGGTTCGACGTCTTCGAGCACGCGGATGTTGTCCGCGCAGGCAACCATACCGAACTCATTCTTTCTACCATCGCTGTCGCTGCTGCCACCATCACATCCGTCTTCGGGTGGGCGGGCATCCTCTCCAACAACCGTTCTCTCCATTCCTACTACACTTCCTTTCTCTGGATCTGTTTTGGTCTACCGGTCGCCCCGGGCTATCTCACTTACAAGTAACGTACCTTCAATCTGGAGGCCAAGATTAGTAACGTCGGTGCCGCGGGCCGTTTATGCATCCAAAACCGTCTTCACCGCTGCGCATACTATTCGCCCTTTGCTAAAGCACAAACATGTTACGCCCGGATGCAAGGCGACTTACCTTCAGTTCGAAAGATAGCGCTCAAGGTTCGGTATTCAGGTATTCAGTCGCCCTCTCAGTCGTTCCATTCCAGATCTTTAACATTTCCACTGAACTGGTGTACTCGAGCCGTGTCACCTACTATTTTAGAAAGGGTAGGATGCCCAAGGCGTACCGCCTCAGTTTGAATAGTATGGCCATCATCATGGATAACCATACTAGGTGAGTTCTCCCCTATTCCCAACGACCATCTCTTTATTTCGTTGGCTCTTGCTCAGTCAATTCACAATACAAACGCTTACAGAGAACTCTGTACACCTTGCGAATAAAAGCGGCTCTCACTTCTGCAACGCTTTCGGCGACAGTTACACCGTACTGGTTTACCCAAACACTGGGACATAGTAAGAAGAGAAATCCTACACAACTTGAAATCATCTGCGAGGTCGCCAGCCTCAGGTTGGTCATGGATGCCTCCAGAGCGCTGACCAAGTAATGATTCATTTGCGTCAGAGGGGATAGACAGTGGTTTCTATGTCCCAGAAGCTTGATACGACGGTGGTGGGACTGGCTCGAGACTGCTTGACCCCATCGCGAACAATGATGGACTTATATAAGGAGAGTCGAACAAAGATGACCACTCATGTGGTTGTGCTCTGCGCGCGTGGGAAGCTTCATTTACTTCCACTGCACGGTGAGTCGTGTTGGCCATGGCTCTGCTCATAATCGTACTTCAGTACACATCGTCACCGCAAACATAGACAGACACCTGAAGTTGACACAGCGCTGTTCACGTTCCTTCGCCTCTGGAATGCCTACGTCGATGCTGGTTAGGGGCACGGCGCTTGAAACGGAAATGGTTACGGTTCTAGTTCAATGGTACTCTGTATCCCGGCCCTCCAAGGTGATCTGGGTGGATCCTGGTAGTGATTACACAGGATTCAGACGCTCTGATGTCGCGAACCTGAGCCTAAGCCAGTAAGCATCTTGTCTTCGTGACAACACCAAGGGGTTTGCCGCGACCGGTCTTTTTGGTATTCGACGAGTCTAACCTGATTGGTTCATCTGTTACTATGACTGCTGCTTTACCGTAATTTACTTGTTGGGGATTCTACAGCGGCCCTTTGAAAACTCCTAATGGAAACAAAGGGACAACATTGCGAATTCCAGGTAGGCTGGACTGTCGCTTACCACTGCGCCGGCAGCTACTGTAAGGAGCCAATTATGGCACAGCGCGACGACTCCTTTTTTTTTTTCAACAGTCATGGTCGAGACAACCCGAAAAGTAAGTCCTCTAAATCACGGGACATCCAGCCGGCCTGGTAATTTCCGTTCACTCACTGAAACATAGATGAGTATTCCCCATATTAATCAGACTTACCTAAAGAATTCATCGAACCTTCCACACCATCTGACTAGCTCGGCAATGGACTGATAATTATGTGGCTTAGAAGATGTCGGTGAACATAAGGCATGCCGCTTTTGCGGCTTCATCGCTCTACGGCTGTTTTCAAGCTGAAAGAAGGGCCTTGCTTGGAAGGCCAAGTTCACGACAGATCCTTTCCATATGCTTCTTCTCCTGTTCGTTCGTAACATCCCCAAACGCCGCATCCATCTCTTCAAGAGTCTAAAGAGTCGTTTGTGAAACGGTGGGAAAGTGGCAAAGAAGTGGGCATGGAGAGGTACTCATCTTCCCATTAGTTTCTGGGTAGAAGAAGACTTGAAGTCGACATAATTAGCTCGTCGTTGTCACGAACCTATTTCGAGGGGAACGCTCACGTGCAGAAAGGAATGCCAGATTAGCGAATGCAGCAAAGAAAAAGTATGTTCCGCCATGCCCAATCTGGGTGAGCATCCGCGAGGAGACCAGACCAATAATGCTGTTGGCGAATTGAGCGATCCCCGCAGTGAATGAAACGAGGAAGGGAGCCTACAAATTAGACATCCATGTACACGACGTGGTAATGGAGATACCCGTTGACCTGAGATGGAGAGGGAAGACTTCACTTAGGAGGACTGTTTACTAATCACTTGCACTGCACAGGGAAGGATATCATCAATAAATGATCACCCCAACCGATAGGTGCCCACGAATATGCAAAGTTCACACCGTAAAAGTACACAAAGGCTAGCCGGAAGCGGGTCAGCACTTGCTGGAGTATAATTACAACGCGCTCACCGATAGCAGCGCGATCAGCAGAGGGATGTGCCGGCCAATCGTTACCAAAGGCGGCAATGAGGGAGCCGACAATAAGCAAAGCAGCGCAACACCCGAGAGCACCAGACATCAGGAGTGGCCGTCTACCCACGCTATCAAGAAGCATGATAGCAGGGAGAGTACCAAGAGTCTGAAACAAAGTAGGAAATATATTACATTATAACGAGAACATCAGAAGAAAAGCCAGGGGTTTTATCACACGCATTAAGGATTCCATAGAGGCCAGTTGCCAGAAGAGATGTCGTGTTGGGGTTGAGTCCAAGCTACCCGAAAACTAATAGGAATGAGACAAGTTCGCAGCCGAGAAAGACAGAATAGACTTACTGGTAGGTGCATAGTAGATTATGGCCTAAAGGAACGTTGAAATCAATTGCAATTTCCCGATATACTTCACTTACATTGATGCCCTAACAAGGTGTCAGCGTCATGCACAAATTGAAGATCGGAGCAACCTACTATAATCTGTTGGTAGAACATTGTCAGACACCGAACGGCCAAACGCTTGAATTTGGGCCACGTAGAGATAAGTGCAATGCAGTTGTTAATAAACCGCTGGAATTTAGACGCGTGGGGTATTTAAGCGCCGTGATTTCACGAGAGTAGCGAAGTTCGGCCTTAATCTCTAAGAATTCATAGCGGAGAGCGAGATCGCCAAGTGGTTTTCGGCGGAGGGAAGAAAGAGTTTGCAGAGCCTCGTCATCACGCCCACGTTCCATCAACCAACGAGGAGAATAAGGCATGAACGCCATGCCTATACCGAGTAACTAGGTGATGCGTTGTTAGGGAAGGTGTCAGAGAGACGTCAATGGCACAACCGACCAGGGCAGGGAACAACTGGATGCCGATGGGGACTCTCCACGACGCCTGCTTCTGGCTCGTGCAGCCACCCCCAGGAACATCGGTATATGGATCAAATGTGGGACTGCCGTTTAAGAGCGGTCCTGTGTATTGAACCCCCGGTGCACAGCGTGTACCACCAATATGTGATGTGCCATATGCAATCCAGTCTGAAGTATATTTAAATGAGAATAAAGATGTACTTTCACGTTTCGATAGACGTGCAGCTTATGAGAATCTGCACCATAGGCATTTCTGCTGTGCAAATTTCAGGTTTCATGAACAGAGAACCCACCCCAAGTGTAATGGAGAGCTGCTGGAGGGCAACGAGAGCTCCCCGGATATTTGCGCTCGAGATTTCAGCCAGGTACATGGGAACAACATGTGTCAATGCGCCGACAGCAAGACCAGCAATGGCTCGACCAATGAAAAAATGTCCTGCGGTGGTCTCAGGGGGGCGTCAGCGAGAACATGAGATTGAACGTACTCTCCGCAGTTGCTCCTGTTTGAAGGGCACCACCAATCAAGAATATAACGATGTTCCCCGTGATATTGCGTTTCCGTCCAATCTGCACGGCGTCAGGCTGTCGATGCAAATCTAGCCGAGTCACACGTACCTTGTCACAGATAGGACCATTTAGTAAAGAGCCAAACCATGCAGCTGGAAGTATCAGATGTTAATGTGGTGCACGGCGCCAATGTATGATGATACAAACCCAGGAGTAGGGTCGACACAAACCAACCCTGGGTACTTGGTCAGTTCGTCACGATTACCAAAAGAACCAACCAATCGACTTTGAGGTTGCTATCCATGTAGATTTTTGGGAACGCAGCACCAAAAGACTCGATCGCAAGCACATTGCTGACGACCTCCTGATCATAGCCGAAAAGCTGTTGGATTCGCCCATTAATAATTCAATTTCCCGAGCAAGAGAACAGCTGCCCACAAAACCTCCTAGAGTTGCGAAGCATGTAACACCGAGTCTGCAAGCAGATTTGTCATCCTGATGATTCCCAAGATGCCGACGATCCTTACACGAATGCATTATCGACCCCCCATCTCGGTAAGGTTGAGCCTGGAAAACTCGTCTTGGGCGACTTCGCGAGTCTCCTTCATACCGCCAGAGTTGAGCGAGTTCTGTGCACTTTGCGTCATGTCGCGGATTGAAGGCTTAATACTCGTCAGAGGGGAAAGCGAAAGCATGAGTTTGCAGAAGGTACACTTTTATACTCACGGGTCGTCATCATCTAAAGGGAACTCCTCGCGCGATAAGTGATGATCGGAAGAACTTGACCACAAGTGAACCCAAATGTGAGAGCAGATAGGCCCCGCTCCCTAAGATTGGGATAGCAATGCCAGTAATTCATTTGACCGTCGCCTACGACGCGAGGCATCCCGTGAAGTGAGGCTGGCTTCGTATCTGGCTCGGTGATCTCCAAACCGATAGCACGATAAGCCAACCAAGATCCTCCATACAACGATGACCGATAGACATGCCATTGCACACGGCATCCCGGACTAATAAATCTGGAAAATCATTACGGCGAGCAAAATTTGTGCAGTACGATCAGTTTATGATAGGAATCCGTTGTGTGTGAAATCTTAACGGGAAGATACGGGTCTGCGAGAATACTTGTGTTCAGTGGCACAGGACTGCGATTCGTTGACAACTCCTTCTGGTTCAAAAAATGACAACAGCAATTTCTGAGGATAATAACACGGCCACAGACCCATACTGCCGATTGCAGCTTTGGTCCAAAGTCACTGACTAATGTAGTGAGTAGTATTGTGAAGGAGTGGACGCGGATAAAATTCGGTAGCTGCTGAAGGATCAGTTAGGTTATGTTATTACGTGCCTGCCACACCTTTGGCCGTGTACAGGGTGGCCATGTAAACCCTCCCACAGTAGCCAATCTTGGCAACCCGTGCTCACATGACTGACCGGACATTGCTTGGCTCGCTCCACAACTAAACAAAAGCACTTGCGTGAATTTTACTCGGATCTGGTCTATCGTTCAGTAGTTAGCTGTAGGGTCTGTGTAGTGCGGGGGAACGAGGTTGTTGACTGGACCCTCGGGCAAGGTGAAGAAGGCGCCTGATATCGACGGTAATGATAAGAGTTGGGCGTGCGGAACTATTTTTACCTATTACAGTGACTAAACTAACTCGATGACAAGGTATGTGGAGCGCGTGGTCGCCAGTCCTTCCCATAAAGAAGCACGCATGCTAGTTTAACCAGAGGCGCATCATTTTCCATTTCCCTCCCTCCGTGCTGGATGCCATGTCCAACGAATACTACCAGGACAAGGAGCAGGCTGTCGGGATCGAGCCCCCGGAAGTGGAGGTCGCCCCCGACCAAGCCATCGCAAAGCGTTTCGGCGCGTTTGGCCCCTTTCTTGAGAAGCTCTTCGCGAGTGGTGTAGAAGCCAGAGGGGTGGAGCGCGTACCGGAGGATCAGAGGGAAACAAGGAATGTGTGGAACAAGTGAGTCGTACGAGTCGAGTCTGCTTCTCGCCACGTGTTTCACCTTCCCCAACCTATACAGTTTGCTGATGTGGTGGTGAGCACTGATGTCCCTCTATAACTACCTTGCGTTCTTGCTCACGGCGACTCGGTACAGGTCCGTCAACACAGTGTTGACTACCATCCCAATTGGGGTGCTGGGAAAGTACGTATTTACACTCACGTTCCAGTAAGCCATCCATCCCTCGCTTTGGGCTCTCTCGTCACGTCAATTTTCAGACACGCTGTGGCCACCATCCTGTGCTTCGGTTTTCTGGGTGCCAATGCCACTGCCTTTGTCGCCACTCTAGGGCCTCAAACGGGCTTGCGGACCATGATCATTACGCGTTATAGCTCCGGCTATATCGGCTGCACCCTCTACTCTATTCTCAACATCCTCACGCAGTAAGCATGTCTGCACGCCATCCCTTCATGTAACTTTAGTGTCCGTTTCATCCAGGCTCGGGTTCGCAACTACGGCAGTGATCCTAGGCGGACAAACGCTCGCATCCATCAATAGTTCGCATGGTATTCCACTTGTAGCCGGCATTATTATCATCGGCGTGTGTTCCCTGATACCATGCTTCGTCGGCTACAATATGGTGCACGTCTACGAGAAATATGCCTGGATAGTTACGTTTTTTATCATGTGCTGTCTTTATGGCCTCGGCGCAAAAGCGGGATTTGACATAAGTGCTCAAAAATCAGCAGAGGACACCGGGAGAGCACTCAGCGCAGATATTATTAGTTTTGGAGGTATCGTGTTTGGCTCTTTTGCTGGGGTAAGCGCGTCGTTTCTGCCCTGCATATTTCCTTGTTGACTAGTGGCTCCTGCTTCTAAACCTAGTGGGCGCCCGTCGCAGCAGACTATAATGTGCGGCTCCCCGCTGACACTCCAGCGCTCCGTGTATTCACCCTCACTATGTTTGGGCTTTATATTCCTGTCTGCTTTACCTCTATCCTTGGCGCTGCTTTGATCACTATCACGGACCCAGAATATGTCGCTGCCTTTGGCACGGATGGATCAACTGGTCGTTTAATCGCGCAGGTGTTGTCTCCTTGGGGAGGAGGAGGGAAATTCTTACTGGTTTTGTTGGCCTTTAGCTGCATGTAGGTCATTCCAGACCGTTGTTAACCCTGCTGATTATCCTGTAACACGCAGTGCGAACAACATCCCTAATACCTATTCTACAGCGCTGTCGATTCAGGCTCTGGGGCGTCCGCTGGCCGTTGTGCCGCGCTTCATTTGGGTCATCTTTGCCTTCCTTGTCTACACCATCGCGGGAGTTGCTGGCCGCGAGCACTTCTCAGAGATCCTTAGTAACTTCTTGAGTATCTTAAGTTACTGGACGGCATTCTTCATCGTCATTATGGCTGAAGAACACTTCATCTTCCGAAGACCTGGCGGAAAGCTCGGAGGCTATAACTTGGCAAATTGGGACCAGCCATCCAAGTAAGCTGCTTTCTGGATGCTAGGCAGGGTATGTTACTCATGGTATCTACACAGACTTCCGCCAGGCTTTGCAGGTATCCTGGCAGGATGCTTTGGAGTTGTTGGTGCTATTGTCGGTATGGCGCAGGTCTGGTACACGGGACCGATTGGTCAGAAGGCCGGTGCTACGTATGGAGCTGACCTTGGCTTCGAAGTGAGTGCCTTTGTATATCGGCTGCTATCATGTGCTGATAGGCTCAGCTTGCGGCGGCCTTCGCTGCGGTGACTTACCCTCCTTTGAGATGGATAGAGATTAAGCTTACTGGAAGATGACGAGACATTACATGTACTATGTATGCTACAGAATAAGTCTTGATATTGTACTGGCCCGAACGTAGTTGATGCCCATACCGGCGAGAAACAAAGTCATCCAGCTTCGTCATATTGTAACACTAGCGACGTGCTAGGTGAAAAGATCGCACAACCGTGTTCACCAGGCCTCGCCATCGACGACCACGCGGCAGTACAAACCAACCAACCGAAGGGTTATGCTACACCGTTGAACGACAAAATACGGCTCGTGTTGTGTACTCGTGTAGGTCACGATAGTTAAGCAAGAAAGATAACATGTCCACGCGGGCTAGGATTACCGTACGTATCAAGGCCTATTGAAAGCCTCAGCATTAGCTTAAATTCAGTTCACGGGCTTCAATGCCCACCAAGCGATGGATTTCGCTCTGGAGACTGATGGTAGCAGCCAAGTGAGTAGCTCAAGGTGTGGGGACCTGGGGAAGTTGATCTTCGCTGCCACCTCCTGCAAGAATGCATCAGGGCTGACGCAGAGGTAGAAACTAATTGAGGGAGGGCATTCACTGCTGGTAGTCGTTCATGCAGATACGACCTGTCTTCGAAGCATAGAGGAAATTGTCGAGGGAGATGTCCAAGAACAGAAAACATGTTTCTCGTGATTGAAGCTAACTAGGCGAGTGGTTCCCTGCCAGGAGACGACTCTAATGTCTATGATGGCAAGCCAGCGTAAGAAAGTGTATTGGCTGTACACAATGGAAACGCGCCCTGTTGATAAGCTTCTCTAGAACCGTGGCATTGACGAACGCGACGGGAGCCTCCTGCATGGCGAAGAAACTATGCTGGATGCATCCTCCGCCAATGGAGCCACCCCCGTCACCGCCCGGGAGGGGGGCAATTCAGCAGCAAGTACACTGTACTTGCTATCTTCTCGATGGCGATGGTATGTCGAATACTATGCTCCTTCTCGGAGAGGTCCTTTTAGCAATCCAGGCGCGCAAAGACAGGAAGGGCATGTCCTCCATAACGAGATACGTGCTGCCAGCCCCATCTCCGAAATCGCCGCACACCGCAGGCACCTGGGAGCACGAGCTTCGGATTCAGATTACTGGAAGATATACCTCTGGATACGAGCCTCGTGAGTGAGGCTCTTGTTGCCCCAGCCGTGAACGAACGAGTGACTGTTTGGGATACGGTAATTGCTGGGGCCCCTAGCGCAGTGGTCAATGTGGGCTGCGCGACGTCTAATATGCGAGGTGCTGCTGGGAACATAATAACTCACGCCAATGTTGTTGAGGTCGGCCGATGTGGGGCAGGATACACGAAGCGGGGATAGGGCGGTGCAGGCAAAAAGGGGCTGTCTGGGCTGGGTTACCACCATGCCATGAGCACCCTGACTCCGGCTTGCAGTCGACCATCACCTCTTCCAGCGTCATTACAACGTTCTGTGTTCGGTTGCACAGCGACCAGAAGCAATCTTGTAGTCAGATAGGCAGGGCTGATAGTGCTACGATGACATTGACAGCGGCCGGATCGGGTTGGTGCGTACTTGGCTATAGCTGATATGACTGCAAGTTCTTCCCAAGATTGATGTTGCCGCTCGAGCCTTTAGTCTGCCTGTCTATCGAGTTGATGATTACTTGTCTGTCTTCTCGTCCCAGGCCAGATTGCTAACCTGAGCAGCGGGCGAGCGTGGTTGAGGTGGATTCCCTCAGCGTCTCTAAAACGGCCATACTTGTACGAATACGTATGAAAGTCCACGCAGAAGGTAAGCCGTGAATTCCCCAAGTTGTGGGTTGTTTTTATGCCTCTTTCCTCGTTCGTTTCTGGTGCTCTTCGCTTGCATACCGTCTATTCGACTGCCTGTCCTAGAGCATCCCTTATCCGTTCTTCTCTCCTTGTTACGATTCGTTCTGTTTGCGTACTTATGACGCTGGGTCGAAGATTAATTCAGGATCTTTTTGAACGACCTCGCCGAGAAGGCTCTGGGCAGAGTACCGCGACTGTTAACGAAGAAGTACAGAAAGCACATCAACCTGCAACAGAGAGTAACTATCGGTTGGCCCCGGCACTCTGGGAACAGCAAGCTCACTCTTCGACTCAAAAGTATATGGTTGCTGGCGAGGTCTAAATATGGAGCATAGTTCTCGAGAGTGCAATCCAGCGCTACTCCGAACGGCATAAAGGCGTCCAAAGACTTGGTCAATACGATTGCCTATGGAGTCGAGGGCAAGTACGACGATTCTCCAGCATGTTTAAGTACAGTCATTTAAACCTACAGGAACTTCACTGTCGACTGGCATGAGAACATACAGGAGAGTATGACTCTTCCGATCTTGAACGTGAGTGACAGCAGATATACATCCTTTCAATATTTGAGGGACTTGTAATGATACTTTAGTCCGTCCATGTCCTTTTACAAGAAGAATTAGGATTCAGCTCAACGCATTCACCTCAGCTAGATGGGTGAATATATTGAGTCGACGACTCGTGCAGACCCTGGTCGAGGCTTACACTACCACATAAGAGAAACCTGAGGAGGTGATCACATCGAAGTGGACAGCGACAGCTAACTTAGGTCGAATAGGATGTCGCCTTCGCGCTTTGCCATGCAGGTCGTCAAGGACGCGAAAGACATGACTTTGACTCCTAGCGAGAGATAAAACTTCTCTCTCCACCCAATCCGTACTCACCTCGACGGTATTAATGCCGTGACGGGCCGAAACACCTGTTCCATGAAGGCCGGGAGGCATGCCTCTTTTTCAGCAGCCTTATACTAATACATCTCGCCTTTGCCAGGAGTGCACTCAGAGACCACAAGATGACCGGCCAACTTCTTGACATCGAGCCACCCGAAGACGAGATGTTCAGCTCCACTGGGACGGGCGCATGCTTGATATGCCCCTCTACCAGAAAAATAACGAACAAAATCGACTCATCTCGAACTTCCTGTTCGTGTCTTCGTAATTTGGGCATCCGTCCCTCCGAATCATGACTTCAGAGCGGAGGGCTTGCACTTAGTCGGTGCGCGACTCTTTGCTCATTCTCGTAGTTTCTCATTCTTGCATGCAGATAAGTTTTCCTCAGCTCAGCGCACGAGGCATGGAGGGCGGCTGGTACGTATGGAGCTGACCTTGGCCTCGAAGCAAATGTGTTTGCATATCGGCTGCTATCATGTGCTGATACGCTTGGCTTGTGGCTGCGTTCGTTGGAGCGACTTACCCCCCTTTGAGATGGATAGAGATTAAGGTTGCTGGGGAACGGCCAGGTGCAGCGTATACTATACCACACTATAAGTCCTGATATTGTACTTACTGGAGTTGGTACTCGTATCGGCAAGAATCAAAGTTGCTATTAGCAAGGACGTGGGTAACAAATTCCCACGAGCGTGTTCACCCCACCTTGACATTGACGACGACGACGACGAGCGGGCAGCACAAACATGCCAACCGAAGGGCCATGCTACACTGTTGTCTTTGAGGACAACACAGAGACACCATCCACACAGGAACTCAGATCTGCATTGGAGAAGGGCAGCGATGACGACAAACTCGAAAGCCTTCGTAAAATCGTCGTCTCCACTGTCAACGGGAATCCTCAGGCAAGTCTTCCCGTGTTTCAACGTTGGGGACGTGTAGTTTAATGTGTGCTTGGTCTCCGATGCAGCCTACGCTGTTGATGCCAATCATACAGTATATCATGCCTTCCAAGAACAAGCAACTGAAGAAACTATTGCATTTCTATTGGGAGGTATGCCCAAAGTACGACGAAAATGGCAAGCTCAAGCAGGAGATGATACTGGTCGTGTGCGTGCCCCCCTCCGATCTTCCCCATTCTGTACATCTGCCGGAGGACTGACTCTCCCAATCCTTCAGCAACGCCATCCGCAATGATCTCGTAAGTTCTTTTCAACCTGTACCACCATCCTCCTGACGCATATATGCAATTGTTCCCTGATCGTGCTTTTGGTTCTAGCAACATCCTAATGAGTATATCCGTGGTGCGACGCTCCGCTTCCTCCAAAAAATATCCAGAGACGCCGAACTTCTCGAACCACTCATCCCCACCCTCCGTGCTAATCTCGAGCATCGACATTCCTACGTCCGTCGTGCAGCCGTATTCGCCCTTCATACCGTTCACCGCGAACATCCGTCTCTCGTCCCCGATGCAGCAGAACTCATGCAGACGTTCCTTGCTGCAGAGTCGGATGCCTCTTGCAAACGTAATGCTCTTGTCTTCCTGGCTAACGTCGCGCTACCCCGCGCGGTCGAATGGTTGCGAGGCGTGTGGGATGGAATCGTCAGTATGGATGAGGGGTTGCAGATGACAGTGGTGGAGGTGGCCCGAATGGATTGTGCACATGATACGACGCATCGGGTGAGTCACTATATTTTACTATTAGGTGCATGCTGACCCCTGGTTTTACACAGCCCAAATATATTCGGGTCATGTTTGAGCTACTTGGTGCGACCTCGCACGCGGTAAAATACGAAGCAGCAACAACTCTCACCACTCTCACCCAGAATGCAGCTGCCGTCAAAGGTAATATACTCCTTGTTCTACACTCTACAGGGTCGTGTTCTCAACTCTGTACGCATTGACAGCTGCTGCGTCGTGTCTTGTTACCCTTGCCATAAAGGAGTCGGATAACAATGTGAAGCTGATCGTGCTCGATCGGTTAGATACGTTAAGAGAACGTCACCGACGCATCCTGGATGGTTTGATCATGGACGTCTTGCAAGTACTCTCCAGGTAAGAGACTCCTTGTTCATTCGACACTTATCGTACCGATTCGGTAAATCCATTCGTAGTGCTGATATGGAGGTACGCCGTAAGGCGATGAGCATCGTGCTCAGCATGACTTCGGGGAGGAATGCCGAAGATGTTGTACTTTTCCTCAAGAAGCAGTTACTGCGCACACAGGAACAAGATTTTGATAAGGTCAGTTTACGTGCACAATGCACATTTATCCTAGGACTGACGGAGCACAGGCGTCAGAGTACAGGCAGCTCCTGATCCAGAGCATACATGTTCTCGCGATTCGGTTCTCAGAGGTTGCCGCAAGTGTCGTCCACGCTTTGATGGACTTCCTTGGTGATTCCAACAACCCTTCCGCTTTAGATGTGGTTGCTTTTGTACGGTTCGTATCCTTTTTTTTTTTTTTTTTTGGAATTGGGTACGTTTTGCTGACTACATTCCTCGGATTTTTCGTACACGCAGTGAAGTGGTGGAGAAATTCCCAGCTCTCCGTCTTGCCATCACGGGGAAGTTAACGAATACATTAATGAACATGCGGTCCGGGAAGGTTTTCCGTGGCGTGCTATGGATTCTGGGCGAATATGTGGAAGAGTTAGATGCCATAGAAATGGTATTGGGAGAGATCCGAAAAATCATCGGCGAAATTCCAATCTTGGCAGCGGAGTTGCGGGAGGAAGAAGGTAGTTCACTGGGCGATGAACAACACGACGAAGGAAATGTCAGCGGTACTGGGGCTGGGAGACCAAGAGTCCTTGCAGACGGTACTTATGCCACTGAAACTGCCTATTCCGTGTCATCGACACGTAATACCGAGTCTTCGAAGACCACTAAACCTCCCCTCCGAGGCAAGTGATTATTGACTAAAAATTCAAAATACAAACTTACCCAATTGTTCGTAGCGCTGATATTGGGCGGTGACTTCTTTACTGGCGCAGTCCTTGCAGTTGCTTTAACCAAGCTTGTCTTGCGACATGACAAGCTGACGAGCGATAGGACGAAGGCTAATTCTGTACGGGCTGAGGTGCGTATTTGCGGGCCTGTCCCAGTCCGTGGCGACTCACTACTTGCATCGTTCTGCAGGCAATGCTGACTATGACCTCCATCATTCGGGTCGGCCAGTCCAAATTTGTCACGGCGCCAATCGACGAAGACTCAAATGAACGTATATTGGGCTGCATTCAGAGCCTCAGTGAATTGAGCGATCGTCAGGAGGTGAATGAAATCTTCCTCAAAGATAGTAGAGCAGCGTATGCACAGATGCTAGGGGCTCAGGAGGTATGCAAGGCTCGTTGCTATGATTCTGTAAGAAACCGACCCTGCTCCAGAAACGCGCAGCGGAAAAGAAAGCTGCCGAAACCGTAAAAGAGAACGTCGTTCAGGTGGATGACCTTTTGACGTTCCGCCAGTTCTCGAAGAAATCGGTGGACGACGCTGTCGATGTATGTCACCCACCTCTACCTTCATCTGTGTGCTGTGACCCTATCCTCGTTTTTTTAGTATGTGGAAGACCTTGGCAAAGCTACTGGCGCTGGCGAAGTTCGTGAGGACTTCATTTCGAATCTCAGTAGAATATCTCAACTTACTGGTAAGTCCATTCCCTTGAATCAAATATACCCTTACTGATATATTGCGCTCGTAAGGATTCTCGGATCCTGTATATGCTGAGGCATATGTCAAGATGCATGGGTTTGATATCTTACTGGGTACGAGGTTCCCTGTGCCTTCCCAGGTCCCTACCCTTATAATTTATTTCGGTACCCCACAGATGTCCTGCTAGTGAACCAGACCTCGAATACGCTTCAAAATCTTTGTTTGGACTTTGCAACATTGGGGGATCTCAAGCTTGTGGAACGCCCTACTGTATACACCATTGCCCCCCATGGCTTCCAGAGTATTAAAGCTACGATCAAGGTATGCCCGTTCCCCGCAATATCTTGATTATGACTTGAGTATTCGTTAGGTGTCGTCTACTGAAACCGGTGTCATATTCGGAAGCATATTGTGGGACGGGCCTAATCTCACCGAGTGTTGTGTGATATTGAACGACATACACATTGATATAATGGACTACATCAAGCCTGCGTATTGCAGCGAGACTCAAGTACGTGCCTACCTTTATGCTTCCGTAATATGTCTGGTAAACAGCAGATTGCAATAGTTCCGCAGTATGTGGACGGAATTCGAGTGGGAGAATAGAGTCAACGTGTCCACGAAAATGACGTAAAGTCCTATCTTCTTTTTTGTTCGCATCGCACTTTAACGTGAAGTCTACTTGTCAGTGACACGCGGGAGTATCTGAAGCATGTGATGAAATCGACCAACATGTCTTGTTTGACGCCAGAAGGTGCTATGTCTGGTGACTGCGACTTCCTTTCTGCCAACATGTACGCGCGGAGTCTTTTCGGTAAGTATGCCCGCCTTAATTCTTTGTTTCATATTCTGATATATGGTTGTCTCTGCACACACGCACAGGCGAAGATGCGCTAGCGAACCTGAGCATCGAGAAGACAGAAACAGACGCGATTGTCGGACATGTTCGCATTCGCAGCAAAACACAAGGCATTGCACTATCGCTCGGCGACCGTATCACGATGTGTACGTACTAGAACCTTCCCAGGTGGTGTTTGGGCTCATGATTCCACCCATTGGCAGCACAAAGGGATACCAAACCTCCGCTATAGGGAACAACAGGTATTGCAAGCGTCGTACTTCCACGAGATGATACATATATGTCCTTTGGCTTTTGGATTGAATCATATATTTTTTTGCCCCCGGATCCGGTCTCCCCCCCCTCTACGTACTGGAGCTTTGATCCAGATCTTGGGCCTATCAGCTCAGCACGCAGCCGCAGAATCCCCCCATGATCCGAGGGTATGGATATCACCTCGTGAACATGGAACCAGTCCACCAGTTAAGTTATTAAGTTTATAGAAATGGTGGTCATAGCCATTCCACTTCTAGCTCGGATGTAGAGTCGGAAGTATGTAGAAGGATAGGTTCTTGCACGATCCAACACCTATTGTGACTGTCAAGGTTGCGATACGAGACAGGCCCGACATAACGTATGGTACTTAGTCTGTCAATGGAGGGCATTCGTAGAAGGTCGGGCGGAACAGCAACCTAAATAAGACTAGATGGAAGCTGCGAGTCGGCGAATGCTCGCCATATGCCTCCATATTGATGTTACGCAACATTACGCAACCGAACATCCGAAGAAGCATCCTCTTGAAGTTATTCTACAAGAAGACTTGATTGTCAAAGCCACGATACTGACCAACTAAAATAGAAAAGCAGAAACGAAAGAAAAGGCGAAGATCTAGTCGTATTATCTACCCCTGCCTGCAAGATTGCAGTGTTCTACACACGTTTGAAAGAGCAAGCGCTAAACAGCTCTGCGAATTAATCAAACAGACCTTTCGCCCATCATCGGCCAGGGCCAAAGGCAGAGTTCCTGGCCGTCTTTCCCGCGGCGCAATGTAACGTTGGATCCAAGCCTAGACTGTCCGATCCGCATGTGGATGCCGGAGTGTACAAGAATGATGGCACACCGAGTCGGCTTAAGAAGTCTGGAAGTGCGCCACAGGAAAGTCCCTTTCAAACATCGCATGGACCTTTCTGTATATATGAACTCGAGATGATGCTGACAGAATACGGGACGTTAACTGCTAGATGAGAAGAGTAAGAGGTTGTGCACGATCGCTGAAATAACTTGTTGTTCAACGATGGCTCACGGCCAAACTTTTGAAATGTCAAGAGTTGATCAGTGGTTCATAAAATGAAGGGAACCCGACCAAAACGGATGCTAGCTGTTCTGTGATGACTCGCTTCCGTTCATGCAGCAGAACGAGATACGTAAGGTTCAACTGGTCAAGCAGAAAACGGAGCGGAAAACGTTAGCTAAGCGATGAAACACTTATAAACACCGCCAGCTGGTACAGGAATGTCGTTGACATCTTCGATTAAATATGATCTTGACAGGTTGGCTAAATGCTTCCATAACTGTGAATGCGATCTGTCAAACACAATTGAAGAGAGCGGCAAGACTTCTGGCATTGAATACGGGAATCTGATTGGCACTCGTTCAAGTTTGCCTAATCTGCTCCAACAACGAGCAGAGTACCCAGCTTGGAAGTGATCGTGAGCCCCTGCTTTGACAATGACGGATGTCGACTCAGCGGTGCCTTGGCTTTGGTGTTTGCTGTGTACTTAATACATTCACGGCAAGTCCATCGATTTTTTTAATGCTCGAGAGGATTATCAAACCCGCGCCAGGTTGTCTTACCACACCACACCCGGGGGGGTTCTGGAGTCGTACTTGATGTAATTTCCAGAAGGTATGTCAGTTACTTACGGTATCCGGGCGCTCGGGAGCTGTTCCGACCACCCTCGTGGGGGGCGGAGGCTAGCGGAGGTCGTAGTTTTTTTGTTTGGAATAAGGATCGCCCGTTCCATGCTACCTCCTGCTATCTCGGGGCATACGATCATATAGAATCATTCTCGCCCTGTCAACCTGTCGAGCTGGCCATAATAATAAAGCCATGATATAAAAGGTGCTCGAAGTTCTTCGTGCTCCACTTTGCCGAGGTTCCATACATAACGACATCTTGCGAGCCTGTCGATTGTCGGCGGTCCCGATCTCGTATCAACAACGGACACAAATAACATACAAAAACCCGAGGCTGCTTCTGGGATCCGCTAGTGACCTTCCGTGTTCACGTCCCCTCCTTTGCAATTTTTACTTTTCCACTCCCCCAATGACAGTTCCAGGCGACGTCACCACCGTCGCAACAACGTACGGTGCAATCCTGTTGGGTACTTGCCTCGGATGCGCGTATGTTGCCATTTGGTCTCATCGAATGACTTGTCCTCACCTCTCAAAGCCTCACCGGGCTCGTGTTCGTGCAATGCGTTTTGTATTACAAGCTTTACCCTGGTGATTATGCATGGACAAAATTCCTGGTGCGTCATTTCTAGCACCATGATCAAGGAGGTCTGACTGATGTGTGCTGCGGCCTAGGTCTTCCTTGTCTGGTATGCAGCGACATGAGAGTCGTGCTTTGAAGCTGATACACCGCAGGGCACTCGACTTGACGCACACAATACTAATTGTTGTTACGGCCTGGCAATCGGTCATTACAGGCTTCAATAAACCCGAGGACATGGATCTTATACCTCCGTAAGTGAAGAATCTATACGTGTCAGACGATTATTTTAACGACCAAGTATCACATGAAGCGCGCTAGGGGTAGGCACATTATTAGGAACAGACTACGAACTTCCTGATGAACATCTCTTCTAGCTCTCCGTAGGCTGTCACTGCCGCCGTCACGTTCCTTGTTCATTGGTCAGTTGCTGCCTGTATCTCTGGTGACGGTGCTCACGGGATACCGCCAGCTTCTTCGCTAACAGAATTCGGAAACGTATGTCCCTTTTCAGTCGGAACTTCATTTGCTTATTGGCCTGCAGTGATGAAGAAGTGGTACATTGCTGTTCCAGTTGTTCGTGTTTAACAATTTCTGGCTAGTACATTGCTTGATTAGGATCTCATAGGTTATCCTTGCTTTCTGTCGACTGCGTAAGTTCTCAAATTCGGGATTGTACCAGTCACTAAACGACGCTTTACAGTTGCCGCCTGCTGTAAGTAATCCACTTATGAACCGATGTATAAATCTGACTCTGTAAACCAAGGCTCAACCTCTGAGATGTGAGTCTGTACCCTCCTACCTGCCCCCATTGCATCATTGACAATATGTAGCATCCATCTCAAACATTACTCCTTATTCATCCGCCCGTATCCAGCTGTACGCCGTCGCCCTTTTCCATTCTACCACAGGTGTGCTGAGTTGTTATCCAGTGGATTTTCACCGTTGGTGTCACCTTGTCTGCGTCTGTCGAAATCATCATTACCACAACCATGATCATCTTCCTTGGAAGCAGGAAGACTGGATTCGCGAAGTAGGTCGACAATCGTTTCTATATAATGAAATTGACGTATTCCATGCAGCATGAACCATATCATCAATTCCTTGATTTTATATACCCTGGAAACCGGTTCAGTTACATCGTAAGATTATTTCCAATCTTGTAGCAAACCCAGTTTGGTTCACCGATGGCATAGTATTGTAACCGTTGCTTCTTTGATTTGTGTAAGCCCTTCAGTAGCTTCTACTGGTTATACACCTGACATGGCTGCAGTGGCTCATCATGCGACACAATTTGATTTTCCTCGGCATGCATTTTGCAATTGCTAAACGTGTGTTCTCTGTATTTTCTCTCGTCGGAAACTTATTCCTACCGATTACAGTATACGCAAACTCCCTTCTCGCCACGTCTGTTGATATTTTCCTTTGACAGATTAGAATGTCTGATAACCTATTTTACAGGTTAAACACTCGCAAGCGTCTGCGTGTAGATCGTATGTATTCGAGTGAGCGTGATCAGACTGGCGGCCTCGCTGCTGGTCTACCCTACAGTGGTGTCAACAAGAGCCACGTTTCGGTGCGTGTCCTGGTCAACTGTTTTGACTTCTTTGTGGAAATGTTGACTTGTTCCGTAGCAACGTATACTTGGACCTACCACTACCCAGAAGAGTGTAAGTACCAAACAGGAGTTTCTGCCCTCATGTTGATGAAGAGTTGCCTCACGACTAGATGCAGCTCAATGTGAACGTTGAAACAACGGTCGTGTCCAAGATCGACGAAGGCTTCAATGACTTCGATCACGATATCGAAGACCAACGTGATAGCCTGACCGAGTTTGAGAAAGATGAGCACAAATTAGGGGAACTCCGAGGCAGTTCTGAGAAAGAACCGAATGTCCATTTTCCTTGATCATTGAGTATGGCCTTTGCTCGTCACGCTCAGCAAGGATACGACATCATGTCTCTTATGCACGTCTCCGGCTGCTGTCGTTATGGTTCCCTATTCTCAGGTAACTACCATTCGGCTTCGGGGATTTGACTTGGTGACAATTACCTACATTGTACAATACCGGTACCTTCATCTTCGCAGTCATGCCATTTATCTTACATTCGCAGTTTCTGCCTTTACACCGACACTCCTTAGCGCTCTTGTCTCCCTCACCATTCTTGTTATCTACCTCCCTTCGAATTTATCACGTAGCATCTTGCATCTCTTATGCGAAGGAGGTTACTTCGAGTTTCATTTTCCTCCTGGGAGCACATATGTACCGTTCGGTCGATGCGTAGCAACAGTCACCTGTTGTTTGATGAATCACCAAGGTGCGGACGCCGAAATGGCATGAGTACCCAAAAAGATGGACTCCTCGTCGCTTGGCGATATTGCACCATGGTTCCCACCGTTATCTTAGAGGAGCCATTCGCTAGCCAGTCTGCGTGCACTGCCTACCAAAGGCACCAGCAAAGATAAGACCCCAAGCACTGCAGCCGGTGCCTATATTAGAACTGGAAGCTAGCGTGAAAGGTGATTGGGCTCTCAATCTTCGTGGTACCAAATAGAAGTGCCAGCAGTAGATGGGCCCTGGTTAGGCCATTCTGACTGCGATTCGTAATTCCCCCTCCTCCGGTGACAAGTCGGCGTTGGGGCTTGGCGAGTGCCGCCCAAGTAATAGCTTACATCAGTAAGCGAATATATGGTTCAAACCTGTTACTGACTGGTCGTGACCGTGATTCCACCATTCCCTGTCTCCCTGATGTAGAGTGAAGGCTTTGTAAGTCGGATGGCCGGCGAGGACATTCTTATCGCATGGCGGCGGGGTCATGATCCTGGATCGTGGTACACGTATGTCATGATGTCATCGAAACTACAAATTGTCGATAAATATCGCCCTATAATTGGGGGTAGCCATGATCGGTCGAGGATGCCGCATTTGCTTAGCAAGTGTCAAATTACGTATAATACACGTAACCTCCACCGACAATGGTGAGATATAAGCGGCCGAACCCAAGCAGGTATCGGGCTGATAATATCAAGCACTCGTCACCATCACACACAACTGATCTTTAAGTTCCCTCGCGCTGAGTCTTGTGCTATGTCCGACGCGCGGGTTACTTTTGATCCCAAGAATATGCCTTTCCGCCGTTTGGGTCCCAGTGGTTTACGGGTACCGCTGTTCTCCCTTGGTAGCTGTGAGTCAGCCGCGCTAAAAACCAATTCAACCGGGCACCCATCAAACGATCCTCACCACAGGGTTAACTCTTGGAGGGACTGTCGTCGGTGACCCCGTTAAAGTAGGCAGCCCTAGAGTCTGGAGCATTTTGATGGATGCTAACAAATTTAATGTCTATAGGAAATTATTAAAGTTGCTTTCGAGAACGGCATCAATATGTTTGATACCGCGGAGGGCTATGCCAAAGGTCGCTCGGAGATAGAAATGTCCGTCCGAGTCTCTTCTCTCCAAGAGAAACACACTAACTTCTTCCCAGGGGACGCGTGATCAGGGAACTTGGATATCGCCGGAGTGATCTAGTTATTACCACCAAGTTGTTCTTTGGTACTCGGCCAGGTCCCTAACGACACTGGTTTATCAAGAAAGCAGTCAGTGGTGGTCCATTACGTTTGATGATTATATGGCGTTCACGGTTTTGTAGTATCATCGAGGGTACACAAGAGTCCCTTGCGCGTCTAGGACTTGATTATGTCGACGTTATATTTGCGCACAGACCAGATTATTCCAGTCCGTGTCAGTATTGGGTTGTCAGAAAAGTCGCTAACGTGATTCGGTAGCACCCATGGAAGAGATTGTTCGTGCATTCAACTATGTAATTGAAAAGGGCTGGGTTCGCAGTTCTGCCATCTACAGTTGAGGATGTCTCATCCCATTCGGTAGGCTTTCTACTGGGCAACATCAGAGTGGTCTGCTCGGGACATAGAGGAAGCTTACCGTCAGCCTTGTTTAGTATGCAGTGGAACAGTATTGATGATGCTTTTGTAGACGTCGCAGACAAGCTCAACCTCATCGGGCCAATTGCTGAACAATGCCAGCACCAGTACGTTCACAACTTTGCTTCGTGGTTGTGATGTCATCCTTTGAGCCCACTATTAGTATGCTGCACCGTGAGCGTCCAGAAAAAGAATACGCCCCACTTTATAAAAAGTATGCCATCGGTACCTACTGTTTGGTCAGCGCTGGCCAGTGGCTTGCTCACCGGGAAGGTACCCTATACTCCATTGCACTATGTTCTCAAACCAACCTGCAGGCTTTTAGTACAACAATGGCGTCCCAGAGAAATCTCGTCTTGCTACCCACCCCGATTTCTTCAAGGAAACCATCAAGAATCTGGATGGAGAGGAAGGTCAGGAGAAGATCCGGAAGATTCAGGAACTCACGAAGCTAGCCGAGACAGGTGCGTGTTGAATGAAGGAAAGGTACTTGGAGAACCTGATATTTTTGAACTGCCAGATCTTGGATGCAGTATGACTCAGCTGGCGCTAGCTTGGGTGGCTAGAAACCCCAACACTAGCACTGTTATTCTTGGCGCTTCCAAACCAGAGCAGGTCGTCGAAAACTTGAAGGCGTTGGAGGTAATTCCTAAGCTTACGCCTGAAATCCTGGATAAAATCGAGGACATTTTGAAGAATAAGCCGGCTCCGATTGTACGTTTTTTTTTTCGTGAAGACAGACTAGTGAGGTCGGCTGATCATGTCCTGTTACTAGCCCTCGTTCGGTCGCCCATCGCTGGATAGGTTTGGTCGCACTTAAACTAGTGGGAGTCCTTCCAGGGTGTGAAGGGATTAGCTGCCCTTGTCAAGTCATCATTGCAGTGTAGTACTGCATGTTTAATACTTCTACTTATGTTAGGCTGTGATTCGCATGTGGTACCACGCTGGTTGCGAGAACGCTCACTCGCCGCAGAGATTGTGGCAGCGAGGAATAGGGTACCGGTACTTACCTGGGAAAAGGGGCACAAAAGCACGTCACAAAATCTCAGCCGAAGGACGATACGCCGGAGGACTCTGACCTGAGTTTGCGGAAGTGAGTACCCGCTCCCTACTTACGGGAGGTGGTACCGGACATGCCAATTGATCGTTGATGAGACGATTCGAATAGGTTTGTGTACATGCTTGTAGTAGCAAGTAAGTGGCGCTGGCAACGGCAGTAACTTACGTATTTGGCTGTGGGAGAACAAGGACCATGACGACCTCGCGGCGGAGGCGGTGGCGACAGCATCCTCTTGTTCTGTCCAAAGTTCTGGCTCTTGTTATTATTTAACCACTGCGCGGAGTGTCGCGGATTTCCCCAAACCAGCTGCGCTGAGTGTGAGCGCTGCAAAGTTTACCACCATACACGGGGACATATGGCTCCCGCCGTAAACGGAGATACATCCGGAGGTCAAACGCTCGGAAAAGTCAACGTGAACGATCGGGCTTTAGTGGATAAGGTACTGGCAAGATACCCAAGAGAGTTTACAGGCAAGTTGCGGAACCCCCTCACCCGAGTTCGACAGTAACCTCAGGTTGGCTCACACGAACCTCGCTCAGTATTTCGAGAACTGATACAGAACGCCGACGATGCTCAAGCTGAAGAAGTGCAGATCGAGTTTCAAACTGAGCAGTACATCACGGCTGTTGGGGGAACGGGTCATGTCGATCACTTGAATACGATCCAGGTGGGGTCCCAGATGCAGGAGAGTAGTCTAAGCGGTGTCAAGTTGGCCAGGTGGGTGCTGAGAAATGACGGAGATCCTTTTACCGTCAAAGACTGGGAGCGCATTACAAATATCGGTGCGCCTCGTCCTCGCTATGTCATCAGCAAAACTCTGGTGCTCATGTCTCTCAGCGGATGGTAACCCCGATGAGCGCAAGATTGGCGCCTTCGGTGTGGGTACGTGACCAACTTTGTTCCATTTGAGTTGCGAGAAGGACGTGATGCTTGTCAGGATTCTTCAGTGTTTTTAGCGTCACCGATAGTCCTGTCATAATCTCAGGTGGTGAGTTAAACTATTTATTACCAGTGAGGGCGCGGCTGATAAAATCTTTGTATAGGCATTCGAAAGAGAATGTTCTATGAGAATAACGAGGTAATACCGTTAATCAGCTGGGGTGCAGGCGTCCTAATGATAATAACCAGCTTCTCGTGGAGTCCAGATCATATGCTAACAGGGACTCCAGGGACTGGACCACTTTCGAGATGGATCTTAAATCAGAGGCAGACTTAACCATGCCAAAGCCATTTGACTTATCGCGCTTTATCAGCACAGCAATGACGTTTCTGGTGAAAGTAAAGAATGTCACCGTGCTGTTTAATGGTTCTGTCCTGTCAAGAATCACCTAAGTCTCGAACAGAAGCCACGAAAATAGAAATACCACAAGGTTTAAAGACCACGAGCCCATCTAATGCGTTCGAGGTCACGTTCGTGAAGGCTTTTGGTGTGTTAACATTCGGCTAACTGTAATTCACTGACTCCTTTCTTCAGATCAACAGGTGACAGTAAACATTAACGGCCAGGCTTACGGCGCGGGATCAAACACCCGTTCTTCGCGCAAGAAAGGAAAACCACACGTCGATCCAGTGTTGAAGTCAGGTTTTTTCCTTGGGAAGAGGAGTTCAGAATCGAATGGCCACCACATTCTCCCAGAGACTTCTGCAAAGGATTTCTCCCTTAGCTACAAGGTGTATTCCGCAGAAGTCTGCACTGGGCTCTCTCATAGAATGGCAAGAGGAATTGAAAAGGCAACAAAGAAGAAACCTCCCAAGACCTTCTTGTTTGAAGCTGTGCACGTACGTTGTCTCTGCTTGTTTGCTTGCATCCCTCAGAGAGGTACTTCAGTTCACATTGAGTGAATACGAGAGCGTGCAGCGTGAGCATGATCACATGCGTGGTCTCAACAGTGTTTTCATGGGGCCACAGGGACTTCTCAGCGAACGCGATGGGTGAGTGACGCGGAGCTTCTTTAGTGTCAATGAGTGATGTGATGTAAAACTACTTTTTCTCAGTGAGCTCGACGCAAAATTATTCATCGTAAGTGCTTCGTGTGTACTCATATCCAGAGTCTGATAGCCTGTAAGGGTCAAACGACGACCGAAACTACCGGAATCGCAGTGCATCTCTCCAGCCGGTTTATCCCCACTGTAGAGCGAGGGTCGATTGATTTAGCGTGCGTCCGTATCTAGGGTCATGATATGCAGTCTCACCTGTTTGCAAATAGGAATGGCCAAGTACGAGGTACGTTGTCTCTTCCCCTTCGTCTCTTCCTTTGATTTTTAATGGGGCCTGCAGAATGGAATGAAGAATTGTTGTACATTGGCGGCTTCATGGCTCGCCTGATCTATGAGCGAGGTATGAGTGTTATCCGGCACGAATGGTCGTCCCGGCCAGATCAAGCACGAAAGGAGGGACTATTCCTCATGAAGTCATTCGCGTTCCGGTCATCTTCGGATTCCAATGTGGCAGGCCTTCTTCAGAAGGCTTTTTTCGACTGCACGCCGAACTTGCCGTTCCCTATCGTTTCCAACCTTGGTATCCGAGACTCAAAAGACGTCCGAAAACCAGATGAAACGTTCGCTACGTTCATGAAGCAACGGCCCGTCCTTGACCTGGTTCCAGAAACCGAAAGTATGATTGTAACACTTCCCAAGTGGTACAAAGTTAGCGACTACACGTTCCGTGACATCGTGGATGAGCTAAACCAGCGGGTATTCACGGAGGAAGACATGGTTGCCTTCATCACGTGGTGGGTTAAAATTTGCCTTGCTAGGTGGGGAGATGATATCGCGGACGGCGGGGAGGAGGTCAAAAAGCAATTTAACCAGGCCTCTAAGAGGTTCCGGCCTGCTCAGCGGAAATCCGAGCAGCGATGTCACTCTGCTAAATGATATCCGGAAATTCGTGGACGGTAAAGGATGGGGTTCATATATACGTGTTGAGGACCCTCTCCCTCCTGACACCATACCCATCTCCTTTACTAGCCGACTGAACGCCCTGGCAGTACGAACTGTCCTTGGATGGGAAGAGCTGACCATTGTCGATTGGATTCAGCACGTTGTTGGCCCCAGGCTGAATCCTGATTATAAACGGGTGCTAGAAATATTGCAGTCACTGTGGCCATCCTTGAAACTTCCTGAAAAAGAGAAAATTATCTCCCTATTGCAGAACGTGGATTGTATTCTTACCTCAGATGGTTTGATAAAGCCCAGCGAAGCTTATTTTCCGGAGGCAGACCTGTTTAATGACCTTCCTGTCATTCGCCCCACAGACTTCAACGAACAAATGCTGCAAGAGTTTGGTGTTAAAATGTTTATTCCTTGGAGCGGTATCAAGGGGCGGTGAGTTCATTTCGCGAGTCTTTTCTTGTTCGAGACTAAATAGTGCGTAGCTTGCCGCACCCGCGGTGTACTCCATATCAACTCGCTGTATATTTTGACAGAGTTCATGATGTCATGACGACCGAGGATCGCATGGAGCTACAGCAGATGGCCATCTTCACTGGTGCAGATGGTGGATTCCACTGTATTGCTGACCTTTATACCCCAGCGCCTTGGAATGCCGACCTTAAGCTTCCAACCTATTGAATGGCCAAATACTTATGTGCCAACTGGGCCACTAGACTGTCAGTTAGCGCTTATTCACTCCTGCGTTGATACACTATTGGCATTTCTCCAGACCTCGAGCGTCTTCATTTCTTTGGGACTCAAAGCCTATCCCCCTTTGGATGTGATAATTAGAAAGGCGTCAAGCGAGGAGAATACCATGAGGAAATATGCGTTCGCCTTCCTTCTTGACAACATGAATTCGGTATATTCCAACTACGACCCAGCGGACTTCCAAGGCATAGCTTTCATTCCCTGCGGAAAATGGAACCATTTACAGCTCGGTACGCCGGAGCAGGTCTGTTTTAGTTTCAGTCTAACCAGTTATGTGCTAAAAATGATGCAAGGTGTTCATATCCTCGGAATGGGAACTACTTGGATTCAAAAGGCTGCATCCAAGCGTTAACAAAGACCAAACCGCGTGCTTGAAGATTAAAGATCGACCACCGGCTTCTGCCATTGTTAAGGTCCTGCGAGAAAAACCACCAAAGGATAACAAGGAAGCCCAGAGTTGGTTTGATTTGCTTGCTCGCAAAGGCGGTGAATCATCGAGTCCCGTTCGACTTGTCGATATTTGTGCTAATAGTTCCCCCAGGTTTCACAGCTGATGAATTGAAAGATATAGCGGAATTGAGTATCGTACCCAGCCACACTGGAAGTGATGCTGGTTCACTTAAATGGGTCCAACCACGAAAATGCTTTTTAGAAAAGCCGGACGACTCGAATGAGCATTATCGTCAACTGTTCAACTTCGTCATGTTCAACCCCACAGCAAGCTCTTTCTTGAGGCTGTGTGGCGCGAAACCGAAACCGGACTACAGTGACATCTCGGAGGCACTTCTTCAGGACCCGCAGGGATATCTTGCAAAAGCCAAGCCTCAAAAGTAAGTTCGCACTTATCGTCACTAGAATGCCAATCTTTAAGTATTTTTCAGGTATCTCGACGATCTCCGTCAGGTTGCGGTCGGATACCACAATTTACCTACAGAGACCAGAACTGAAGATGAGGAACGCGGAAATATTCCTTGGGTATCGAAGGAAGCGTGGCCCGGATACCTCTCGGTCTGCCGAATCAATACAATATGCCCTCAGACGAGCACGCGAAATACTTATCGCTGATGACATGGAGAGTTACAGATTGTTCGGAGAATATGTATTGGTTGCACCAAAGGAGGAAGTGTTTGACAGTAAGTTACTTTATCCTCCCTGTTTCTCCCCTAAGCCTATCGCTCTCGAGATTTCTACAGGGCTATGGGTTCCGCGAACTTGAGTGTCCACGTATCTCACACCATTGAGACAGAGGGCAAAGGCGGGGAGGACAAGGATCTCCGAAGTCACGTCCTATGTAGAGTGAAGATCTTCCTGTACGATCAAGAGAACACCCGCCGATCAGACTGTCCGGACTGACAAGGTGGCAAAATCCCGAACATTTCAGTGTGAAACACTGCGAGCGCTTGCGAATTACGAAACGCCTCGACTTTGAAAACGCGTTGGAGGGAGCTTGTAGTACACTAACCACGGTGTGTGATGATGCACTTCGCCGGAATCGAGACGACTAGGGGGGGAAACCACATACTCTGGGTGGCAAATAATAGATCAGGATCTAGGCGAGCGTGGTACGAGTGAGTGACGAGATCTTGACTACACATGGATCAACGATTCATACTTCGTCGTAGCATGTCAGTTGCCCTTTGTCGCCTCCTTTTCAGGACGCGCAAAGCACACGATACCTCCTCACTCATGACAATCCTTGACGCCAGTCTCGAAGACCTGCATCTTCGAGGTTATGATGGTAATTCGATTTCTTTTGTCATCCGTGTCAAGATCTTAACCGCCATACAGTAAGCTGGATCGAAGACAATCCAGTGCGGCCATCAGACAACCGTGGGTGCCTGTGCGATCATTTCCATCGCCTACTTACGCGTAGTATTTTCTACATTTCAGGCCCTGCCTCTGCCTCTGCCTCTACCGGCCCCACCGCCCTCGCCTGACCCACCTCAGCCACGACTACCGTTGTGGATCAAGGACTTCAGGCACCTTATGGGGAGGCTGTTCACCCGTAGGAAGACGCCCAGAGGAAGATTCCTATCGGCCGAGATGGGTTAGTGTGAAAGTGAAAAACCACCGATCATTGTCTCACCCTTTCTTCAGAGCAATTAATGGATGAGGCGCTCAAGCTGTGCGAGCGCGACGACGGTAATCGGGACAGAACGATTCATCAAAACACTGAAGATCCGAAACGGGGAAAGAAGCAGCATGATGTGAAGTATTGCTCCGCCTCGCGTGTGATGGACCTCAAGTACTGCAGTGAGCCGTCCCATTGTGCACACACTCCTTCGAAATGCGCTTATCTTGTTTACAAGGGCGCACCCGGGATGGCATGGCGGTGTTTAAGACCTGTAGGTTTCCGATGTTCTATTCTGGACGACCGAAGTTGAGACTTGGGGGTTGCAGCCAAGTCGAACGATCCGCCAGAAGAAGAACTAGAAGCGTTCTCCGGCGTTCTTCGGAACTTGGCGCAAATGTTTCATTTAGAACCCACACAGTTACACGTATTCTGGCAAAGTGATGATGCAGAACTGATGGGTTTCAACCGCAATCATGCTATCTATCTCAATCTTGCACATTTTATGGTGAAGCGTAAGTTGCATCACTCCCGTCCTTGCCGGAGCGTTGGCTTATCTCTTTCCCACGCAGACCTCGGAAAATATTCCAGCGACGACCACGGGAAAGCTGACGTGTATAGTGCTTGGTAGGAGCTCGTCCAGCGTCTTGCACCATACGCGCCACCTCTGACACACTCGAGCAGGTTCCTCATCATTGCGCATGAGATCGCACATAACAAGGCCTTTTGGCACGACGAAGACCACGAACTATTATTTACCTACCATTGTTCAGACTAAGTTGGCTCCTTTCAGGCAATTACTGGCTAGTGTAGCACCCAGGAGCTGATGTCGAACTTTGAATTATTCCTACTTGCTCAGTGTACGATTTAATTTGGAATGTGATCACGTGATACCCCCACCCAACACGTATGTAGTACTTCGTCGATAACCTAGTAGGAAAGTAACAAGTTGTTGGAGTCCCTTTAACAAAGTCGACGGCTGTGAAGGACATAAGCTAACGGGATGGTGTGTATCTTGTCGTTTTCTGTCCACCTTACGCATTCCTCCTACAGGTCGTACTGGCAGCGTCGATATGCACGAAAGGCGGCAAAGGTGCCATGGCATCAATGCTTCATAAACATACCACTGACGATAGTACCCAACAGCTGTCCTCTCGCGGCAATTCCATCCCATGACAAGGACCCGTATCGAATCTCTTCTTGCATCCTTCCCAAAACTCATCCCTACCAACTCCCAGCACACCTCCGTCGAAACCTCCGAGGTCCGCTACGTCTACCAACCCCTCGAAGATCTCTACATTCTCCTCATCACGAACAAAGCGTCCAACATCCTTCAAGACTATCGAGACGCTGCATCTGTTTGCGCGTGTCAGTGGCGGATATGTGTAGGAGCCCGGACGAGCGCGAGATTCATCGCGTCGCATTCGAGCTTTTGAGTGCTTTCGATGAGATCGTCAGTTTGGGATATCGGGAACAGGTTTCTCTCACCCAGGTCAGGAGTATCCTGGAGATGGAATCCCATGAAGAGAAAATCCAGGAAATCATCGCTCGCGTACGTCCAAAAATCCTTCCCCCTCCTTTTCTCTCTCTCTCTCTCTCTCTCTCTTCCCTTCCTCATCATTTTACATGGTAACAGAACAAAGAGGCAGAAGCAAAAGAAGAACTCAAGCGTCGCGCTCGCCAACTCGAAATGCAACGTCGTGAGCAACAAAAACGTGCCGCTGCTCTCGGGGGTATGGGTGGTGGTATTGGCGGCGGTATATCCGGGTATTCCCCCGTTCCACGTTTCGAGGCAGCCTCCGAAGCGTCACCCATACGTACAGCTTCCCCAGCCCCGTCAGCTTCGCGGCAGCCAGCGTTCAAGAGCAGCGGTATGAAACTCGGAAGTAGGAAGACTCGCCAAGCAGAATTGCTCGATGCACTGGGTGGCGAGGTTCTTTCTGCAGAAGAGATCTCGGCACCGTCGACCCCGGGCATCGCGGAATCTCCCGTACCAGCAACGGCATCCGTTGTCAAGAACAGTCTCCCCATCGTCACACCTGAAAGGTCAGTTTGATTCCCACTACGCTCTGAACGAGAAAAGAAGGCTCCAACACTGATCCTCATCCCCAGTATACACATCTCCATCAAAGAAACCGTCACGATCGCCTTGTTGCGTGAAGGCGGCGTCAAATCACTCAAACTCCTCGGCGAAATGGGTTTACTCGTCTCAGACCCCCAGCTTGCACACATCCGAGTCGCACTGGCCCCATTTGCACCAGGATTCGGCGCGGATCTTCAACTCAAGCAGCATCCCTAACGTCGCGAAGTTCACACCGGGTGGGGAGAAAGTGATTGCGCTCAAGGACCCTTCGAGAGCTTTCCAGGTTGGACAGGCGCTTGGAGTCCTCAAGTGGAGGTATACGGGGGACGATGAGAGTTATGTCCCTTTGTCAAGTGCGTATCACCGCGCTCGGCGGGTTCGGTGACTGATCATCTGGTTTATGTAGTCAATTGCTGGCCGTCTCTCTCGACCGAAGGGACATGCGACGTCAATATTGAGTACGAACTCGAGAATGAACACCTGATACTCTACGATGTCGTCATCTCCATTCCGCTCCCGTAAGGTTCCACTCCTTCCATTTACTTGCTCACTCGTTCACTGTAATCCCCTTGCTAGCACCGGATCCTACCCCACCGTGTCAACACATCCTCCGTCCTCAGCATGGTCACTCAACCCTAATAACCACACCCTCGAGTGGAGCATTCCCCGTATCAGTAATGATAATGACGATGCGACCGAGTCCACCCGTTCCGGTACACTCGAGTTCTCCGTCGGTGGAGACGACCTCGGGGTCTTTTTCCCTGTCCAAGTCAACTTCGTCGCCCAGGGAAGCGTTGCGAATGTGGACGTAGCGCGCGTGGAACGCGTTGGCGAAGGTGCAGGAGGGGAAGTTGGGTTCTCGTGCGAAAGGGTTATTAGTACGGATTCATATCAGGTCGTGTGAGTAAAGAGAGGGCGGTTCGCTGTTTCTTTATTTGGTGTTGTGAGACGTATATACGTCCTATGAACCCCTCGTAAGTTAGCATTCCCCACACGGCTCATCGGACAAGAGTGTGGTGGGGGAGGGATGCATTCCACACTTACAAGCTATACATACCATACACACATAGAGATAAATATACATATGACCACCCGCCATCACGTCATCACATACACACCAGTGCTCACTACATCGAACACACCTCAGAGTTTTGCAGGGTTCGTCCATTTCGGGATTCGCTTCTGTATAGGTGCCACACGGACATTCAACGTTCAACATCCACGAGATGTCCAATGGTCGTCCGTAACGACCGTTCGATCACAGAACCGTCATTGGCGACCAACCACCGGTAATTATACACATGGACGGATGATGATCAGTTTCAATAATCCAATATCCGAGTAGTGCGCGCGATCGACTTACCTCTACGAACGCAGCCAGACCTTCCTAAACGAATACGACCATTAGTCGACGTTCGTCTATTGAATGCCTCGATCCGGGTAACCGCCCACCTTAACATTCCGCCCATTCCACACCCTCCCACCGGCTGCACTCAGGGCATGGGAGACGACTGCTTCGTCGACATTTCCGACGCGCTGTGCGATCAAAAGGCCTTCTTTCGTGCTTTGAACTGCGTCCGGAGAGTTGGAAGTGATCGTACGGGCGAGGGCGAGGGCAGTGGGGAGAACCTCGGCTGGGGAGGTGACGATGTTGATGCTGGCAGGTGGGGGGCGTGGGTGAATGTCGGATGTGGCGTTTCGGTTTCAGTTTGGGTTGCGGAGTTAGAGGTGGATTGGGTGTGGAGTTGGAACGTGATCCGGGGTAGGGGTAGTCCAATGTGGTTGGCAAAGAATCCACGCGAAAGAGCCCAAAAAGAAAGGTGGTTTTAGGTTAGTTCAACGCCCTGCTCTCAGGCACAGACTCGCCAAAATGATAATGATAATCACTACGACGCGAAGCGCGAAAAGAGCTCGACGCTGAGGGTAATGAACGAACGTGCATTAACAACGCGATGATCGCGAACGACCCGATTCGGCGTAGGCGCATCGATTCGCTCAACGGGGGACAGGGAGATGGAGTGAGGAGAGGATGAAAAGGCGGGTCAAGTAGTATTCTAGTATTCGCGTGGACAAGGAACGTGCCACCCGTCGCCCACCAACTGCCAGGAAACACCGATCACCCACCACAAGTCCTAGGAGTGAGTGACCCAACACTGACGTGTGCCATTTCCAAAATGACACTTGATGACAAACACGAAGAACAAAGAAAGGACTCGTTGCGAGCCAAAGCACAATGCAAGATGACTGGTGAGGACGTCATGGTCCGGCAGCAGTACGGGTTGTGGTAGTAGGACACCGTGAAAGGATTGTGGAGGCGAACACCAACCAAGCGGAAGGACAAAGGTCGGCAGTGGAAACCAAACGGAGAACGACGGGTAAACCTAAATGAGACTTACAAACGAAACCTATCCCTCGCCTCCAAAGCGGTGATGGTGCTTCCGAGAAGAAGCATCTCCGAGGCAAGCTGTGGAACATCATCGTCAGTCACATCAGTGAAGCAACTGATGTCGGAATGTCGGTGAGTAAGACCACAGATCAGTGCGGGCATGGAAGGGGTCAATGAACGACCAATTTCGGACAGCCAGGCCAAGGCACGACGGTGATGCGGAGATGAGACAGAAGAGGGGCGGTCCGTACCTGATGACCCGCGACTCTCGTCAACCTCGGGATCGCTGCAACGACAGATCAGTACGTCGTCCCTTATCATATCCATTATCGCGCGTGTATATACAGGGTGCTCCAGATGGCAGCGACCCAGAAGGAAACACAAATGTGCAAGTATGGATTAGAGGGAAGGAGCAGGTACGTCCGAACGTCCGAACGAAGGAGAGAAGGACGACGTGCCCGTTCCGTTCCGTTCGGTCATGGGGAAATCACATCCGCGAGGTCGAGTCCGTCCCTTTCGTGTCCTCTGTGACTGCCACACCGAGTTGGCTCGGGACGAAGACCCGACCCACCTGTACCCAGGGCTGAGGGGAAGAGGGAAGAAGCACTGACCTCCTTGCGCAGCGACCACGCCTCTCTTTACCTCCAGCAACCCAAAGACAGCATCTGTGCTTGCGACGACGAGGTCGCAATTGAGGATGATCTCGACACCTCCGCCGTACGCAGGTCCGTTGACAGCAGCGATGATGAGTTTGAGGGACGTGCGACGGCGAGAGAGGGCAGCGAATCCGTGCGGCGAGGATGCGATGTCTTGCTGTTCGGTGGTGACGTTGGAGGACTGGCTGGCATGCCATGACTTGAGATCTGCCCCTGCACAGAACATGTCGCCCTCGCCAGTGAGGACGACAACCCACAGACTGGGCTCGCTGTCGAACCAGTCCAGCACGTGAGCGATCTCACGAGTGAGGTCTGGGGTGATGGCATTGCGTTGGCGGGGACGGTTGAGGGCGAGGAGGAGGGTGTGCTCCTGTGGAATGCTTACGGTCAGCTCTGGGGAGGAGGAGGGCTGCATGGCGGGGCATGGCCCCCTCCGCGGGAAATCGACCTCCCATCGGTCTGCTTCCGAGTTGCCGACGTGTCACATTTCCATATATGGACTTGGATCTATCACGTCCGATCCGAAACCTTGGCGTGTCCCCCGATGTGATCACGCCTTTCCTTTTTCGGGGTCACATGAAAAGAATAAAGGGCCACCTTCCTTTTCCGTCTCTGCGTGCATTTGGACATCGCCTGCCGCCGCCATCATCAGGACATTTACCAGTAATATTATTATTACTCGCACAGCGTAATCGCAGCAGGCAAGTTGGCTGGTGGAATGACGCCACGACCAGGTCGACCACCTCCGATAACGGAAACAAGTCCCGGATTCACTTTTATACCCTCGACACTTCCTCTCCTGCTCCCCCATCCACTCGTCCACCTCCTCTTCTAACATGCAATCTACCTCTGCAACCACTACCAGTGCTATGGGCTCCCACCGCCACCACCACGACGCAGACCAACACCTCGTCGTCCACCACAGCTTACCCCAGTGCTGCCATTGCGGCGAGCGCGGTGCTCATGCTCCCCATTGCCCCTTCCGCTGAGCCCGTCTCTCTCCCCTCGTCGCTCTTATTTATCTCTGCAATCTTCGTCCATCTGCAATGCCTGCATTACCATACCCCGTGCATTAATGTGTCATGCCCGACCCACCCATTTTGTCTCAACACACTCCCATACACTACCCCCCATCATACTCCCCATCATTCATCGCCCCCCCCCCCTCACCCATCCATCGTCGAGGAACCATGCACTGCAAACTAAACTTGACGCGTGACGATCACGTAGAGCGTCGCTGGTTCCGGGTTCCGTTTTGCGTTCGGCGAGGATGGTTGCGGCACTCGACTGGGGAGGTCCCATCCCCATATACGGAGTTATCACTTCCCATATCCGGTAGTGCAGCAAGGGGCACACATGGGACCTTGATCAATTCATAGACGTTGATTGACCCTTGGTGTCCCCTTTGTCATCTCTCTGTCAGTTTGGAGCGGGAAACCAACCTAACCGGACACCGGCGCTCGGAGTGGATGGGTTGCTAGCAACGTCTGGGTCTGAGGAACTGTCGAACGTGTGCATCCGCAGTGTGGTCACTGGACCACCAAATGTTCTTGGATATTGGAGTTATGTAATATTGAAACATTGGATTCCTTCACACGAGGACGATCGATGCCATGTAGGATTCATGTAGGAAGTTGGCTAGCCAATGTTACACGTACCCATCCACCATGTATGATATCCGCTCTGCTGTCACCATACATAATTTATTTGTCTTTTCGCACCCTTCTACATGGAAAAAGCACAAACGACGTTATCGGATCCAATTGACGACTTTCCCTGACGTCACATCTCGGTTGCTGGTCCTATTGTTTCCTGTAGAGGCATGCTTAAACTGAGACACCTTCATCATGTGCACGCAAATTTTTAAAAGCCAGTTGACGACATAGGTATTGACCCGCCCGTCGTGGATACCAGTGGAGCCCCCACGTATCTGGGAGTGGAGGGTGGTCGTCTTCGCAACGACGAGGTCTCTTAGGAGTCTCCAAATACTGTGCCCGCAAAACCCCCGGGGGACGCTCTCCGTGAAGCCGTACGGCGTTCATCTACTACCTCGATCTTGATGAAAGCCCTGGAACCGAGACTTCCATGGGGGAATATCTGCACGAATGGTCTCCACACCCGCGTTCGCTGGCGAGTCATGTAAGAAGCACTCATACTCCGAAAGTCTGGGAGTCCAGGTGGCTGGCCCGGTAGACTGGATGGCGGGCTTAGAGAGGACTATGATAGTAACTTCAAGTAATAGATAAGATGAGTACAGGTTGGCGATCCATCCAGTTTTTACTATATGCTTACATATCAACAGACCAAGCGGGTCAATTTGGTTTTTCGGACAGTCGCTGACATGATGCGAGTGATGGGCCCTTGCACTACCCGCCGCAGCCCAAAGCATAACAAGAGATACACACACGTCCGAACATGACAGTCTATTCCGTGCCGCGGTCTCCACACCGTCTCTGATGCTATATCGTTTCAACCCCGAGGAGAAGTTCAGATATGGATTGTCAATATATTCCAAACGTTCAGCTGTTACCACGTCCTGTACACGAGTGTGTATAAGCGCATACGTACGTACATCGCCGCCGCGATTGAAGCTTGAAGGGCAACCACAAATTTGTGCATGCGTGGCCCGAATGGATGAAACTTTGAAGGACAGAAGGGAACTTTGACCGGAACTCAGTCAGCACGACGCACTCTCCTCGGTCTTATGACAAAGTATTACCCCTGGCCCTGCACTGCTTAATACACGTGGTGGTGGTGTCGTCTTCTCCGCAACGCAAACATGGTCTCCACTTACTTTATTGTACTCTCGATTGCCCGCAATGTATGCACCATTGTTTCGAGTCAAGGAGCTATACTCACGATGTTCCGAGGGACAAAAAAATGAGAAAAAAAGTAAAACCGGAGTTCGGGAGTTCGGGGCGCTAAGAAGCCTAATTTGCAAGAATGGAGATTCACGTACACACCCACGCAGGAGCGGGTGACTTTCTGGGAACGCTGGTATGTTGCGGAACTCGTGGGTGAATGGAGAGGAGGGTGTAAGAGGACTTTGAGTGGAACTAAGACTTGGCTAGCACGACTAGCAGGCGCACACGATGCACTCAGCGAGGTCTCTTCATATGACACATTTGTATATCAGGTGCAGGCGCGTAACCGCCTGCATGTACTTGCTTCACCTAACCAAAACTCTCGAGCGCATGGTACGAATTTCGTTATTATTGCCTTGAGTAAGCGACCGAAGTACAAAGAACTGCGTTCCGAGATCAAGAAGGAAAAAAAAGAACGGAGTTCGGAACGGAGAGGCCTACATATGCATAAGAATGGAGATTCACGTACGCGTATGTACACAGGACGATTGTGATTGGCCGGGTAGTAGGTGTGCATCGCGGGGTGGTCGATAGATGGCGGAGGAGATTGTGAGGGACTGAGGGAGACTCGAGAGTTTAACGGGGATGAGCGCACCCAAAGTCTGCAAGGCCTTTCACTCTTGCAACCTTTGACAAACAACGGAGCTAGTTGGTTTTTCGACCCTAGCCCTATTCCGAGTTTGCGAGGTTCCGCAATTCGGGGCGGGCGGGGATGGCAGTGCACAAATACGTTATATTTTACAACGATAAAGAGCAAGGTACGTGTTGTTTGTGATCGGGCAAGTACGGGAGATTGAGCCACTGAAGTAAGTTGGAGGGTGTGGTGGAGATCGAGAGGGAGCTTCGCACGACCTGCATGTGCTTCTGATACCGTAGTAGTTGATGGGACGGCGGACCCTCCATGATACTCAAACCTCGTGTCTCTGGATCACCACCCGTGTTACAGGGAGTGGTGAGAAATTGATTATACTGATTGATACGATGCTGCCATCAACCGCTGTGTATCACAGCACCATCCGATCAGGCAAACGGACTCGAAGGTGGCTCAGCTCGGTGCACACAACGCCGTGTTTGTCTGTTCCTTCACATCGGAACAACTGAATTGCAGTAGAATGCACAGCATGGCCAACCCCACGGGTTCAAACTTTCACCCACGTCGGGGATGTCGACCCGTTGAGTTCCACTAACGTGCTTACTATACACCATCCGTGCACAGCAAGTACTGTACTGTTCACACGTTCATTTATCAGGTCCTATTAGGCTAACAACTTGTTCACTCACGTCCAATGTGTTTGTAGGTGCCTGCCTGCCTGTGTCTGCCTGTTCGGATGCAATCTATCACTAATCCCCCCTGGATAAATTTATGGCTTTGCATCTACGCACCTTGCATAGCTATTTCCACGCTGCACTGCCCACGCGAGTACGTGAGTTCCTGTCATACCTGGTACTGTTCATGCTGCCTTACGACCTCAACTACGACGCATATGGGCGTCAACAGGATGGGATCGAGGGTACGGATGCCCCGTGTGTGCATGAATGACAGCCAACCAGTGGAGACCGCCACCTCCGCCGAGGCGTGTCGTCGTTAGTGAGGCATCAACTCTATTTACAGTATGGGCAAGCACTCTTACAATCTTGACTTGATCAACTCCACAGATAGCGTTAGCAATCGTAGCTCAACACCTGTCTGCGGGCCTATTGGGTCGGGCTATGTTCGTAGTAGAGCGCCAGCGTCCGTACCTTCCGGGACGGGAACCTATCGTTCGGGTAGACAGCGGAAGTATATCTGCGGACTGCGTATGAACTACGAAACGCGGTGCGGTATCGATCGGACGTGTGTTATTAGACGCGCACGTGGGAGCTGGGTGCCAGTAGAAGATGTGATGCATAGAAGATTGATGAGATTGGAGACAAAAAATAATGCACGTTATGCTGTTCTGCCTGCAGTTCAGGTACTTGGAGGGCGGATGGCGAGAGGCTTGGTGGCGTGTGGCAGAATTCCTGTGTGGACGTACCACCGGGTTGTCAACGTGTCAACATTGGTCGGATTCGAATTCTCAGGTCCCTATCACCGGGTGCGTCTCAATATTCTTCCCCTTAGAGATCGGTAAGCGAATAGTTGAAGTGGTGATGCATTCAGTTGCTCGGAGCTGAACTCGAGTTGATGACATATGTGCTGTTATGTTATGTAGAGAAGAGAAGAGAAGAGAAGACACTAGATTTGGGCAAAGCTGATAAGATGATGCATATCCGAGTCGAAGGTGTGTTGCCAGTGACCTGCGTGGCCAAGATTATTGAGACTCGGTGTAGGGATACGTCACCTCGATGACGGGAGTGGTCGATAATCGACATAATACTCACTCAACTTAGCTCCGCCTATCGCCCAGTCGTCATTTTTGTCATTTGACTGGCTCGTCAAGTCCCCTGTGTTCGGAACTGAAACTCCCATACGCTGTACAACAGCATCTTCCATGCAAGACTTATCTGGTAAGAATCGATAAATGCCGAGCTTACGAACTCGCCTCTTCGAACGTGGCACATAAATATGCGTTGTAATTTTGGACAAGTATGTAGGTGGTTCGACCGTGATTGCAAGTTTAGCACTACGATAGTAGTACGAGCGCGCTGAGAGGGGGGACGAGGATAATGATAATAGACTACGAGGGACAAGGGGAAGCTTCTTCAATCTCGCCCATGAATTGGACCCCTCGGTTCCTTATCAGTACTAGTGCATGGGACGATGCAAAAATGAATGGGCGACATTCAGGACAGTCGGACAATCGAGCACTCCTATCCACGATCCGAACTTCTCAACTTCTTCCGTGCATGCGAGCACATGCGAGGGTCGTGGGGAATGTAGAGAAGAACCTCGTGACCGGGACGGGCATGGCAGAGACGTCAGCATCGACGTCACACCGAGGCATTGATCGTTAATTCCTTCGCTAGAGTGCGAAAACATGATTGGTAGATTGACAGCAGTTCGAGGGGGATGGGTAGATCTACTATTGATAACGACTGCGGTTCGAAATGGGCCTATCAGATAACACTCTATTACTCTTCTTCAATCCTTCTTCTGACGGGTATGTGCGAAAGTGCCACAGTTATGACACGCAGTAAAGCCAAGAACATTCGACAACGTGATACGGAGCGTGTTTTATCTGTTCGCTGTCGACTGTAGGAGCTTGGGAGAAACCGTCCTTTATCAGGTTTGACATCAATATCTGACTTATCCTTCGAAGCCTTCGTTTATCGGCCATGCGCTATCATGTTCATTTCACTTCGGGGTTGGGCGGGTGATGAAGTAGAGGAATGTATTAAAGCGGGATTTGATACTGGGCAGCCTTGAGGACCGGATGCGGAGTATTAAGGCTCCCGAAGCTTCTCTCGCCTTCCTGTGGCAGACTCGTCCTGGGTGGTCCTTCTGTCATGTTCTGGCTGATCCCACATTGCAACGTGCTTCATGCGGTCCGGAATATACAAGATAGAGCTTGGACGCAGATTCTAGGCTTCGAGGGGTGCCTCTTTCCTCGGGTCATAGCCAGCCAGCCACTTTTTCGGCTAGACGAACTCCAGCGTGTCACCCAAAGTTTGGCCTGAAACGACTTATGTCCGAACATAATATACTCCACGCACCTTGTCATGCTGTGTTCACATGTACCCGCCCGGCGACTTGTCTGGGCAGGGGGAAAAGGGGAATCAATGATTCCATTGATCACAAGCGTCTACGCCTGAGTTAACTTTCGTCCGTGGGCACGCGTGAAACCATGCTGGTCGTTTGATTATGAATGTTAAATTGGACTTGGCATAATTAGGCGTATAGTTGCCCTGCGTACCTGTGTAAAATATCGTCACAACCTCATTGGGCGCAATTACTTACTGGAGCAGGATAGGGTTTAGCAGGGCAACTGAGGATGCCCAGGCTGCGCAATAGAGCGTAATAGATAACAACCTGATCAAACTCGCCACACAATGTTGCAGCATTATTCCGTATGGTTACGGATATTTACCATTTTGCCTCCCTGCCTGGGCGATCGTGCCAGTATCGCTGGTGCCATTGCGGTGGCGATTTGCGATGCGATCTCAGATATATTGTCACGATAGTGAGTCGCAGTCAGGGTTATGTGCAGGGAAGCTGCGTAAGGTGGTCCCTGTCCAGAATCTCGTTCTTCCTTGTTTGCTTCTTCGGACCTCGCGTATCACGCGGTGGCCATCGTCATCGACCTCATGATGATTAAGATACCGGAGCTCGAGCGCATAGCCGTTTGCCACGATTATGCATCAGGCATTCATGTACAGATATGGGAATGAAGGAATGCGTGATACATTGATGTGTTGCCTGGCGAGCACACGTGTAAGAAGAGATCTGCTTCAGCGCTTGAGTCAACTTTGTTGCGGTTACGTCTTGTCGCGCCGAACGTGGGGGACGGCCTTGCCCGATACCGATACATAGATGGTGCATGCTGAACACAGGAATGGGTCGGTCTGGCCATCTCGTCATGTAATGTCTCCAAACGGTGGTTAGCAGCGGGAGGCTTGGGAGAGTCGGTACCAAATTACGAATGGCGGTGTGGCCCCTTAATTTTCCCTTTCACTTAAGCCTTGGGCGTGGTATCGGAACCGCTTTTGGTGCGTCGAGGTCGGGTTATTGGTTGAAACGAAAGAGTTGAGCGCTAGTGCGTGGGATGGCATGACTCAGGACACAGGACGTGTGGCGAGTAGGTTGCGAGTAGGCGTTTCAAAAAGAAACATGTCTGT